CATAAGGTGAAGGCTGATGATCAGGTTAATGCAGTTGCACCAACTGACATAAAACCTTATAGTCTTTATGTCATTTTTTTCCTATTTTGAGCTAGCTTTTAAGATTTGAAGATGTTGGGATGGGTTTAGCTGCATGACTTGTAAGCCCAAATTAAAACACAGAGAAGCACTTTTATTCCTAAAGCCCGTATTGTTCAGCTATCTCAGGTTTTATAGAAACAATCTACCAATATCAAAGAAGTGAATAATTTAAAGTGTTCAGAAGCATAACTGTATGAAAGGTCTTTTCATTTGTACTGCTTACAAAGAGGCTATATGTTCCAACAGCAACAATGTTGGAACTTAACTTACAGATTTTTTTTTTAGTTGCAATTTTAAGTAAAAACCTAAGAAAAATGGTCGTTAAATTGCAAAAGATCTGAAGGAAGCTCTTGGTGTACCTTTAATTTAGTAGTAAGGTGCTATGGGTTCAAATGCCTCTTGAAAAATTCTACTTGTTCACTCACTGAAGTAGCAGAGGCAACTTTACCAAGCAAGAGTCATCAACTAATCCAGGTGAAAGAGTGAACATGGGTGTGGACTGGTTATTAAGAGGACAAATTAGGAAAAAATTAGAAAGCATAAGTTATTAGGAAAGCATTATGTAAAACGACTGAGAGTACAGTTAAACACTACATAGCTGTAGTTCCTTTATTGCTCTGAATGTATCAGGCTCTCAGCAATTCCCAGTTTCTAAGTTCAGAGATCACCAGAGGACAGGCAAGTTTTTGAAGTTCTGTCCTGAAAATGGAATCCCTAATAGAGAAGCATCCAGCATATGTTTGACATTCTGCAGTTGATGGGAGCTCAGTTTAAGATATTCTGCAATTGGTATATTGCAAACATCTATACTGATAAAGAAAACTTTCAAACTTCTCTGCATGAGAAGGGTTGTGCTCAGTATGCACATGAGCACACATTTTATGGTTTAGTAAACCGAGCCAAGTATAAAATACTACGTCAATTTCAGCGAAGAACTGCATTCTCAAAATTGCTGACATTACCTTGACACGCAAAATAAAGTTATATCACATTAAACTACTTCACTGTATCTCATCCTGGCGCCACCTGCATTGTTCTTCTATGAACCATCCCATTTGGGTGCTTTCTTTTAAAAGCTAAAACATAACAGGAACTTAACTGGTTAATAGAAACCCCACGCATTCATTAATTTTGTGTGAATCCTGCCTGTGCTCAAAGGATACCTTAAATTAACTCACACTAAAACATTCACTATAAAATGTCACATTTGATATAGTATGATTCCTAACTATTGTTTTTAACTTCAAATTCCTTCTGATTTCAAGCCTTTTAGAAATAAGCACATTCTGCACCACTGGTGAAGCAACAACATCAACTCATCTAAACTACGTGGGTTATGATTCAAAAGAATTTGTAGCTTACTTTCAGTGATCTTAAATTACCTATTAAGCTAGTGTTTTAGCATTGGATAGTGGTCGGTATGTTTTAATACAGGCATTCAACCTGACATAGCAAGTTGTATTTTAGATCACCCAACAACAAGAAGTTTGAAAAATGTGTTCTTAACAGACTTATTGTGTAACATTTAACTTTCAGATGAAGATTAAATAAGGCAGGGTTTCTCAAACAATGGTGTGATACACACCTATTTGCAGAACTACGTAGCAGGCTGTGAAGAATGATAGCTGTGGGTTTAGTTCTATCACTACAGTATCTATTTCACGTTATTAAACAGTTCCTAAGCCCATGGTTACGTAGTCACTTGGTATTATTTCTCTTTTATCTTTTTCAAAACAGTCCTGTGAAGTAGAGCTCTTAAACCTGAACAACCTACTGAAAAAAAAACAGATGCAACTTCCACAATCAGAGGATACTTCTAGCTGCCGACCATTTTCTGGACAACAAACCCTTAAGTTTGCTGAATACTATTCTGGCATACATCAGCACTTCCACTGAGAAAAGTAGTGTTGCATCATCCCTCTTATCACATCTGCTTATTTCTGCACCCATTTTTATGACAACAACAAGTTTGCTTACACAGTGAATTGAATGAGTAGTTAGGCAGGCTGATAAACACACAGCCAAATCACTTCCCTATCCTGACCAGCAGTGTGACCAACAGGCCCTTCTAGCCCAAATGGGAAAATTAGGCTTAAAGTTCAAACCTGTACCTGAAATACAGCATAAAAGCCATTGTGGCGCAGCTAGCTCCATTTGCTATTTCCAGCAGTGAACTGCTGTAGATACTAGGGCAGCTTCATCACTGTTTCCTGTCCACATAAGATAAACAGTTCTTTAGAAGCCAACTCAAAACAGAGATTATCATCAGGGTACTGACATAGCTAATAGCTGTTTACTATCTTTATTAAGTTAACTAGATGCAGGTTGGACAGCATTAGTAAATTAGATAATTAATAATTTTTCTAGACTGTACTCTAACAAAGTTTCAGAGAGCAAAGATTTTTCATACAAATACTTCACGCTGAGGTCTCAGAAGTACTCTGGCTGTATGCCAATAGATCACTGTACCTGCCCAAAGTCTTAATGAACTATTTAGTATAAAATTAAAAAAAAATAGGGTTGAGTTTTCGGAAGCTCAAGCCTCATGCTAACTGAATGCTTTAAAGTTTCACTGGCTGTATTAAAGTAAAAACACACTTTGAGAGTCTACGGGCTAAATCAAAATGGTTTAAGTATTTTGCACAAATGTTTTTCTACCTTATTACAAACTAATTAGAATATCTGATAGAAAGGTTTTAATGTTGTCATGATGATACACATCACTTAAATAGTTTGTCACAATACGCCAATTCCAATTACAAAAAGGCAATCCTCTTCACACTTTTATCCAAATTGCCATTATACTTTCTTCAAAAGTTACTAAACATACTGTACATATTAAAACACAATTCATTTAATATTTCCTAATTCACTTTTAAAAGAAAAATGAAAACAATTTTTAAGAACACATTCAAATTCATTAGCAGGACTTTGTGGACTAAGTTTATATCTTGGCAACTATTCTCTCTTTGGCAGGAAGTGTTGCATGTATCACAGGAAACTACCAAAATCCTGATATATAGACTGGTTTCCCTTACATTATATTTCCATTCAGCTTCCTCCGTTAATGGAAAATTTATCCCTCAGAGCACAGGGACTTAGAAACAGTTACACATATAAAAGTAAGTATCAACAGCTTCTTTCATGAGTAACAGTAGCTGTTCTCGAAATCTTTTTAGACCTGCTCATCTATGGCCAGGTGCAACTAAGATCCTGAAAGTGAAAGAAAAGAATTTTTAGACCTCGTTATTGCCGGTACTGTTAACTTCTTTTGAGGATTTTCAGCCCACCTTATTATCACAGAGAGAATGCACAGGCTACGCCAGGAGCTCTGTTTTACAAAGAGTATTATGGAGTCTTTACCAACGACAAGATGAACCTGCTCAAGCAGACAGAAATGTGGACTGCTCCCAGCAAGAACAAGTCTGATCCTCCCTGCATTACCCTTTTAAGTCATACCAATCTTTTTTTGCCAAATAATTTTCAGCTCGATCAGTTCCCAGATACTATTCCTTGCATAGTTCTAAGACTACTTGCACTAGCACACAGAAGATGCTGGGAACTGCTGTCAGGCCTGTTCCCCACTTTGGTAAGCCTAAATTAACCGTCAGCCAGCTGTTTCAGAGTGGCAGCATTACAATGGAACTTCACTGTCTTGTAACTTCCCTGGAGATTTAACTACAAAGTAGAGAGGTTTACATTATGAGGAGCCTTTGCAATATTCTACTCTGCAGTTTTGTTTATAAGAACAATTTAATAGCAAAGACTAATGATAGCCTGTGAAGCTAAAGCAGAGACAGCAGCAGTGTGACTCTCCTTTAAATAATAAAATTTCTTGGACTAAAATCACACCCTAAAATGTGGTCTTAAGGACAGGAATTTAGGTTTTTGGTTACTGTTCTACAGCAGTTGCAAATACAATGCTAACGCTAACCTTTTGGGAACATGCACTAAAATTCAGTCATTACAACATACACCTCCCGTAGCAACACTTCATTCCCTGAAGAAATTACTTGCTGGCACAGAAGGAACAAACACTCCAAACATGGACTTGGAAGACCTGGTTTTACCTTTTCTCTGTCAAGCTTCCTATGTTTCTAGATATGGACAGCAATTATTTAGCAAGTGCTAATTACTTAAATTTTGTTTTAAATCACTAAACAACCAAGGGCATTACATATTCCTAAAAAAAAATGTTAAGACAGTGGTGCTGCATGGGACAGAGTTGCACAGAAACAAAGATACAGACAAATATTTTAACGTACTTTCACTTCCTTCTTAATTATAAAAAAGAAAAAAAAAGGAAGATCTCTCTATTTCAGAATTGCCTAGGTAACATCTTCCTATTATACTTCAACTGCTCACACTGGATACCTAACTTCTCTACCTGAGAAGTTTCAGTCAGAAGTTAAATATAAGGCTAAGCAAATCTTGTAGCAGCAATCATGTTTTTCCCATGTCAAATAACTGCTAAATTCCACAGCTGCACAGAAAACAAATGCCATTTTACTACACATCAAACAACACTTTGGGGGCCAATTTTGTAGTTTCAAATGCAATTTGAAAGTGTACTTTTCTTTAATTAAATTTGTTTAGGCAAGGTTTGGCATCTTTTTTGCAAACCAACATGCCAAGGCTGCACTAGCAGCTCAGAATCACGTGCCACTCTGTTCCCAATATGTCTCTGTTTAACCTTTGAAGTACATTAACAGTTACCACCAGAAGTTTGAATGAGTGATTACAAGTAACAATTTCACATTTATACTGGAAACCAGAGCAAACACTCCATAGAAACTGCAAACATTACATTTTAGTATATTCTAGTTAAAAACCTAGTGACTTGATTTCACCATTTATATATCACAAAAAAAAAAAGACTAAAATATTTAAAACAAGTACATGTTTAAAATACCACTAACCTTCCATGAGCATGAAAATCTAGGCGCAAGAACTGATCTTCGTGCGATACTGCTCTTTTGGCACGCTGGTGTTTTTGGTGTAACAAATCCATATCATAAGACAATCCTTCATAATGTCTAATGTATTTATTTAGAGGATTTCCATACTGGCCTGAAAAGAGAAATAAGGAAAGTTTAGCATGTCTGAGAAATTATTAAGGTAACAACCACATTACAAAGCTTGACACATCTGTGGAGCAAAATGGTGACAATGAGAACCTGACTCCCGCACACAACATACATTTTGGTTTTCTTTTTTACCCCCTTTTATACCTCACATTCATTCTACTGTGGTCCCACAGACTGAATGCATACTTGCAGCTGGAGTGCAATAGATGGACCTTGAAGGGCATCTTCCACATTAATTTCAATCAAAACTACTCCAACAATGCAAACTACATTGGGAATGCTTGAGACATGTCTCAGAAACTCACTCCTGATCCAGACATGAGTAGTGTTAACAGCTTAGCCCCTTTCTTCTGGTTCCCTAAAAGAATTATACTTCTGTTTTCACTCTACTCTCACTGCACTGAAACACCTGCTCAGGTTTATATTCTAGATGCCAGATAACCAGGAAAACTAAGAGCAAATCATGCCATCTAGCAATGTGTTGTGTATTACATGGAACATTCTATCAACTAGAAGAGTTGTGTTAAAGATGCCATCACCAAAGACGCACACTGAGTTCAGTCTATTTTGGATACTTCTTTTTAAGATAGGTTCATGGTTGGACTTGATGATCTTAGAGGTCTATTCCAACCTAAATGATTTTAAGATCTTATTAGTTAACATAGCCCATGCAATCACAGAACTGTATGCACAGTAAATTGACAGCACAGCGTGTATTCAATGCGAAGTGTACTTTCATATCCCAACAACAACCAAAGCCTCCATCCCCTGCTGCTGCACATCCGGCTGTGCTTCTCTTCACAAGAACAACACTTGACTGCACTTCCATATCAAAGGCCTGCTCTAAAACACCACACATGGAAAATACTGCATCTGCTTGCCAAAAGTAAACACAGACTTGAGGAAGGAGCTGAGAGGTGATTCATTAAATGTGGTCAGAGACCAAAAAGATAGTTAAAATTCAAACAATAGATATAATGTGGAAGAAAAAAAAAAAAGTAGATCACTGTGGCTTTACAACAGAGGTATGCATACAGGATTTCTTTTAGTTGTTTTTACATGCTTTCTGAAAATATTTTTAAACACTTTCAGTATTTAAAATATCAAATCATAAGAAGCTACTTAGATACCTATATCTAGAATCTACTACAGTCAACAGCAAGATCGCTTCAGTGGTTCTGGTTTCAAAGCCAGATTATATGTGACCCACATTGTATCCTCTTTCTTGATGTACTAAACACTGAAGCCTGGAAAGAGTTAAGCGTATCAAGCAACATATATTGTTTCAAACATTCAAAGCCTAGTTGTATGTTTTGATATATAACTTTTATCAGTAGTTAGCATGTAAGCATTCGCCTGGTTTGAAAGAAAGGCTTCAGTATCCTTCTATATACTTTATACAACTCACGTAACACTAACTTTTCTCTTGTAACTCAACAGAAGCAACTGTTTCTGAAGAACAAATCAACAATTCATTACAGAAACTACTTGGTGGATCACAGCACTCAAAGGTAAGCCTGCAGTTATCAGGCAAAAGTATTTTTTTACACAATCTGTAACAATACATTGCCAAATTTATTTCTAGAAGGAACATTTTAGAACTGTTCAGTAAAAATTTCTATACAAGTTCTTCCTTTTACTAAAGCATATTCTAAAACTTTAGAAGGTGTTTTGCTCAACTATTTGTTTTTATCGAAACAAGGCAGTTCTGTCCTTTCAATGCACTGAGATGTAATGTGGTGCTACAAACATAAAGTGAGTACAGTAAATGCACGGTCATTGTTTTTACTAGTCATAGAACATAGAACCTTTCACAAAAAGGACACCATTTCAGTCGTCAACAACTTCATTTATGAAGAGACTGAGCTGACATAAACCTGAATTGTCTATTGAAAGCTACAGTATAAAAATGCAGTCTTAACTACAACATAAAATTAGAACATAGAACTTGTAAGTTGCTATTTTTTCACTTCCAGGATTAATCAGTAATCTTTAAACTTTTCCTGAATGGAAAGTATAGCATTTGTTTAAATATCATAGCATCTACATTGGTATAGCAGTATCTACTACTATGTTCTGAAGTTTGGGCAACCAAAAATCAATAGAATAACATTATGCACCAGTTTCTGCTTTAGGGTTGTATTTTTTTTTCCTTTTTTTTTTTTTTTTTTCTTCCCCTCCCATTTTCTGTGGTATTTACTTTAGTCACTGAATGTTGTTCTTAGTTGCATGTATGCATTTGTCCCATTGTTCCTGGCTCCCCACCTAGCTTCAAAGCCTTCCTTCCTTAACCTCCTACTTCAGGAAAAACAGCAGTTCTTTAGTTTATGCCTGATTCAGGAACCTTACATTTGATCTTTTTTTTTTTTTTTTTCCCCTGCAGAAATGAAGTACAGCATCTGAGAGATCACATGAAGAGTCAAACCCCCGATTTGCTCCAGAACCATTAATTCTGTATAACACAGTACATCTCATAATCAGTTAATGTCAGATAAACCGCAAAGAGAGAATTCTCAGAGATTCCACACAGTATTTCCCTTCAGATACGTATACTGACAAGGCCCAGGCATGCTCAGGGAAAGAAGCATATCCCAAAACTTTGCCTCAGTAATACGGTACAAATAGTTACATTTGCACAAGGAAAAGTTATTGTACTAACAGCAGAATTTTGTAAGCAGAATATAAATTTACCTTTTCCTGTATTTATTACCACGAGGTCTTCTTTAAATTACTATAATGAATTTCTCAGCATCTCTATTCCTTTTCAAGGGATTAGAATGTCTGATTTCCACGCACCTCAGAGTGATACAGAAGATGACCAAATAAATGAATACTTCCAAATGCGTCACTTGCATTTAATAGGAACGTGCACAACATGATACGGCCATCTCTCTTTAAAATTCAAGTAATGATACACTGCAGATAAACTCCACTCAAATTTCCTCCCGGTACTGAAGGCCTACATATCTTACTCTTAGTCTCAAAAGTCCATCCTCATCTTGTTTACCAGAGGCTTCTTAAGTGCCTTTGCCATTCACAGAATTTGTTATTTAAGCATGTCTACATCAGTTCTAATCCCAATAAGAAACTCTACAAAGCCAAAGTTTCACCAACCAGCATGAGGAATACTGGGGGTGAGGAATGCTGTCCCTGTCTGATGTTTCTCCTATCACTTTAGGCTTACTCCCACAACACAAACCAGAAACACCTCCTTGCGCACGAGACTTCTGTACCCCAACCACAATTAGCCTGGGCCTAGTTATTAGATCAGCCTGATGAACAACATGCATTCACCTGACTGCCAGTACATGCCTTCCGATTCCAGCTATGTGAGCCAAAAGCATCAACATTAAGAGAAAAACTTCAGAATTAGCTGGCATAAGTTACACAATTGCTGGCATAATTAACTGAAGTTTTAATTTTAAAATGAATGTAAGTCTGGAATATGATATGAATACTCTTTGAAAACGTCAAAACCAAGGAGTTTGTATGCTGCAAAGGTGCACGTTTCTGTGCTCTCTCAACACAGGACTATTTAACAAGTTAAATTATCTTCAACTTTTCTGTGGTAGGCAACTACTACTAACACATTCTTTAAATTGCTATAGTTTTTTTTTTTCCTTCAGCATTGCAAGGTACTTTTTAAACAGCATCAGGCACCTAGAAAAAGGTTTTAAAGCAGGACAGCTTCCTGAAAGGCCCCAAAACACTTTGCACCTGCTGCAGGCCTCGTGGTCACCCGGAAAGCTGAGGCTGCCCTCAGCTGAGTAGCATAGTTTGCAAATGTGACAAGAGATTAAAAGACTGTTGATACTAAAAAGCCTTACAACGTTATTTCTGCTAAGCAAAAGTTAACATAAAACAAAGAGAGCCCTTCTGCTAAAGCAAAGTTACACATTCTGCAATCACACACACTTTCCCCCAAACTAAAAACAAACATGCAAACATAAACCCCAAACCCCACACCTCCTTTTAAAGGCCCTCATGGCACGTACTTGCCACAAGCACTCTCCCCTCTTAAAAAAACAAAGCAGCTGCCCGCCACACAGGGCACGTGCCATTGCAGAGCCTTTCTGAAGATGGCCTTCAGACAGGGCTGAAAGCAAAGTTTCCAAATAAGTGTTAGCTTTCATTTCCAGAAACACGCATGATGGTAACACTGTAGTAGCGCCCAAAGTCTCAAATCAATTTGTGATCTCCTTTAAATAAAACCAGCTACAAATCAAAAGTGATTCTCCTCGTCACAAAGGTAGCTCAATGAGTAACTCAGCTTCCATAAGGTACGAATTTATAGGATGCTGACGGCAAAAGTTTGTTGAGCTGGAAAGATGACTGTACTTCCCATGCAGTATCTGGTACAAGATGTCTCAGATTCTTCTCTTGCCAGACTCGGTGTTTAAGCTGCATATAAGCATCATCACCAGAGGCATCACAAACGCACCCGCAGACACTTTAGTGCCTTTCCTTGCGGCCCATCGGGCAGGTACAGCTGCTAGCTGCAGCTCCCCTAATTGGAGCAGTCTGTGTCAGAAAGGAAGACACCTATCACAGCATCCAAAAGCCTCGCACCCCAAGAATCTCCTACAATTGCAAGCACACAGACCTAAAACTGGGATGAACTACTGTGATTATTTTGTTGCCATCGAAAAACTATTGTTTTTTTGAATTGAGACTTCAAGACATCTATTAAAATAAGCACACAACCAGAAAACCTGCAGTAAGGAATACTGAACCACCTGCACCCAGGTGGAGTTTAAGGGAGCTGTTCTACAAATTTCGTGTATCATGTTGCCATCAGACAAACATCAAAGATGGCACGACGCCTTTCCAGGCAACCTAGTGAAACCAGCCACCATTTTACTTCAGGGAAATGCCAGGGCAGAGGACAGGAACACAGTATACAGATACCAGAGGGTAGCTGTGGGATGGCTTTTGAGGCTGACAGGAGATTGATGTATGGACTTGCTAAACTAGATGTTGCTTTTCCCAAGTGGAAAAACCTCCAAGAACAAAGCTTTATTTTCAGGGAATTAGAAGTAAATACAAGGAAGGACTCACTCTAAAGAGACTATGCAGAACATTTAGGCAGATGGCCCAAGGTGATAGTCCCTGTAAAAAACCTTGTGTGTGAGGGTCTAGAGCTCTTCAGCAGCCTTTGAGAATTTCATTGTACTTCCTGAACAGCCACTACCGCACTGGACACAGGGTGTCAGAGGCACACCCTCTCAGCTCCTACCTAAGCTCCGCACATCATACAAAGGGTGAAACATACCCAACACTGGATTTGAGCTGTAAGCCTCTTGGCACACCTTGAGCAGCTATATATAACTGCTGTTTGGTGGTCTGGGCTAAATGGCTTTGCTGCTCATTCACGGTGTTTATTTTTTTCAAAGATTGTCAAAACTCTTTTTCTTAGACAAAACCTTTGCAGTCTGTGAGAGACAAGCAGAGGAAATGCGTTAGGGAATGTGTAAACCATGAGGATGTACAGAAGTCCATGGGACTGGAAGGGCTGCATCCCAGAGCACTGAGGGAGCTGGCTGACACCATTTTGAGGCTTTCTATCACATTGGAGAGGTTTTTGGGAGAGGGAGGTTCCTGACAACTGGCAGACAAACATCACGCCTGTGTTTAAGGAGAACCTGAAGATCTATACGCTGGTCAGACTAACCTCAGTATCTGCAAACACCATGGAGGAAATTCACATAAAAGCTCGGTCCACATGCACAAAGATTAGTAATAAGCAGCACTAAAATTTAGCAACACAGGCATCTATTATGTATATCTGTATCGTGGTAAAAGATAACATTTAACTGTCCTTTAAGTGGATAAATCCAGCACACACCGTTCTAAAAGGTGAAGCTTATATTAAGACGCTTAGATTAAGACTTGCACAAGAATGGCAAATAGTTCAAATACAACTCAAGTTTGTTAGTGGAAAAGAAACACACAAAATACAGCATGCTGGACTATCAGAAATTGTTCAGTGCTCAAGCTAACCTACTGGACAACTCTTTACTGCAAGCATCATCACTGATTGGCAGATTTGAAGTGCCAGCATTTGATAAAAACCTTTAAGAGAATGATTAATAGTATTTTAATTTAGATAAAATTATCAAAACGTTGTATTTTTTCAAGCTGTTCTGAATTTTTGGTTAATTCTCTTAAAAAAAAGTTCCCTTTACACAGGACACTTGTTGAAAAGTATAGGTAACATTCAAATGTAGTACTTCTGTGCTGAAGCACATCAAAAGCCAGTAATCCTAAAATCTATCTCCCAACAAGAATTTCACTGAAGAATGAATCTAGGCTGTCGTTTTGTGACTGCTAGAAGAAGGGCAGATCCTGCCACCCCTTTTCATCCTATTTTTGCTCTTCCCTTGTGCTGGCACTATAGCCGATTGGGATGAAAAATATGTTTTATTTTGGTCGTTAGTTTTTGGTGAAAAAAAAACACACATGCAAACAAAAGCCAAATCAGGATCATTCCCCTTCACTGGAAACTTGCATCTAAGGCACAGTTAGTACAGCACCACCAGACTAACTGATGTCTGCTTTTTTTTTTTTTTTCTCCCTTTCTTTCTCCCCATCCCCACACAAGTCTCAACTCTTCCTCCTTGCTGGGCCTGGGTCTGCACAACAAACCAACTGAGGTGATATGTCTGGCAGGAAAGCAGTCATTTCTTTCATTTAAATTTGCAGGTTGAATTGGCTCGTCAAGAGGTGGAGAAGGAGAGATGGGAATGCAGGGCCAGGGCAAGACGATGCAGCTCATGAGAGTGGCTCTGCCGTAGCACAGAACTGAACCATTCGAGCCTTCTAAAAGCAATGATAAACTACTGGCTTAGGTTCCTGGGTGATGGTATTTCAAAGTTACTATTTAAAAACCTGATTTTATTTAATTTCCATGTACACTTCTGAAATAATCACCTTTGCCAGACACTGCCTCATCCAGCAGTATAAAGTCCTAAATGTTTTAATTTTAAATCCCAGATACGTGCTAGAGGCTGAGTGCTATTTTAATGAAGGGTAGTATTCTTCTCAATCTATAGCAAGGATGCAGATTTAATCTCTCAGATACTGATAGCTCATATAAATACCTTCCTACAACTCCCCCATGTGTCCAGAAAAAAACAGAATTTCTCCCATGCACAGCGGGAAATAGGTCGTTTGATATCCTGCAGCACAAGCCACTACGACACAACTCAGAAGTCCAACAACATCGAAGGGTGTGCTCTACCAGGAAACAATTTGTCATAGATTTGCAATGACGTTCAGCATCTGATCAGCCTAGGCAAAGCATGACCACTTGTTAATTCCAAACTTTTTGGGGGTCTCATTGCTTCTTTTCAGTATTTTCTAATACTATTCCCACACTTCTTAAAATCACCCTCAGATTTTATCAGTTATTTCCATTCCTCAAAAGACATGATAATAATTATGTAGTGTTTAATATATTTGCATGCATTTCCATATCATTCAATGAAGCATGCTCCTAACAGTTGAGGAGAATATTGCCCCTAAGGACTGCTTTATAAATGTCAAAATTGCTCATAACATCAGTCAATGAACAGATCCCTACACTAAGCAACTCTGAGGGTATTGATGAAAATACTGAGATTCACTTCACTTTTTTTTTTTTTTTTGTTAGGAAGTCTGAAAATTCAAGGCACTATATGCTAGAAACTTCAGATGTGTGTATCTGCTTAAGGTAAATTCTACCTTTCCCCAGTTTCTTAATAATAATAATAAAAAAAAGAAAATTGGCATGACTTTTCTTCTCATGTAATTGAAACTACATTCAAAATGACCAGCTGGAATACATGTTTTTAGGAAGGTTGTATTTATTCACTGGTAGTAAAGAAATAAATTTCTAGAACAGCCCTTGAAGTTATCTAGTATCAGAACCTGACCAAGCATGATCAGGTCCTATCAGAGTTAATTACTGATAACTCTTCTGTTCTAACCATAAGCCATGCAGAGGGTTATAAAGCATCAGAATACAGACATTGCAGTACACTTCATCTGTACAGCAACACTAGTGATTGCTTTTGGTTATGTTCCTTTTCCAGTTTATTTATTTTTTTAATTATGCAAATGTAAACGAATTTACAATCAATTGAAACAGATTTCATTTAGGCATTAAACTGTTTTCTCCTCAAATGAGCCATCAAACAAGTAAACCATAAAAGTTGTGTAGGATCTTAATATTAAAATAGACAAAAATCTTGACTTTGTCATCCGTTATTAACTGTGAACTGAAGTTGTAATCAGTTCTGTTAATCTACCATTATTTAACACTACCCCAAGAATACCACAACAGCGTGTAGACAGGGTATACAGGCATAAAGCCTTAAGTACTTCTGAAAGAATTACTCTGGTATCCCAGACAAACGTTCCAAGCTTAGTGTCACCATACAGAAGTACATTCAATAAAGTACAAATTCATGTAATTTTCAAAATGATTACTATTTCATATGTATATAGCTTAAAATTATACAACTTTAAAGAATATTATTTGGCTTCTAGATCTTTGTAAAACTAGTGAGCACAAGAGGCACCGTACACAAACGTAGCACAGGTAGACTGTGTTTTTCAGTTGTTTCCAGGTTGTGTTGTTCTTGCAGTAACACTTAAGAACGATGAAGTTGCCTTTTCCACAGACATTACTGTACTCCTAGAATATAAGCGTTTAAATAAAGAACTTTATAGTTCAGCAAAAACATTTGCAGTTGGTAAGAAATTCTAGAAATGTAAGTAAAAGCTAACCGATAATTCTATTACTAAAAAGCGATTTTAATTCAAAAGTTATTTTTTTTTCATAATTATGTTTAGACTTTCAAAAAGAGGAAAGAGCTTTACAGGTTATTTCTGAGACGCGAACCAGCCAGCGTTCCCAGGTTCCTATCAAGCACTGTTAAGCTTTGTTTAGAGACTGATCTATATTGCTAAGCACTGGCAGGCACGTACTTCTGTTAGTGTGAGGAGCACTTCCTACTGCCGGTATCGTTGAAGGTGTCCATTTTTCTCTCAAAGAAAAAATCAAACATGAATTTCCAAGATACATTTCATGAACCCGTTCCTACATATCTGGAGTATATGCACGTTACCATGATTTGAGCTGGAAAGCGTACTTGCCTGCTTGAAATTGAACCATGACAACAACTCTCACAACTGGGCAATGAATTCCCCTTTGAGCGAACTCCGTGCCAGCACAGTTTAGTTTAGCAAACAAGAAGGCCTTGAGAAGCGTGCCCACAGCGTTACCCTGCGGTACCCTAATAACTGCCTGGAGTTCACGAGGGAAAAGTCACGAGCGAAGCCCTGTGTGCGTGCCCCGTGCTCACACCGCGGGGCGAGCTCCGGCCATGTGCAGCGCTGCTTTTTATCACACTTAGCTCAGCCCGGCCACGAGCACGCCCTGCCCCAGCTCTCTGCTGCCTGTTACCTCCTGACAACGCGCAGCAGGCCCGGCTTTGGGGCCGGATCCCTTTGATAAGCCCCACGCCTTGGCACACTCAGCCGCGATAAGTGCCAGAGCCAAAGCAGCAGCAGCGAGCCCCTCACCCAGCCACGACCCCACCGGCAGCGCTCGCCGGGCCGGGAGCCCCCCGGCTGCTGCCCCCCCCCCCCGGCCTAGCAGCGGGCGGCCCCCCCCGAGCCGCTCCGGGCCCCCCCGCCGCGCTTCCTGGTGCCGGGCACGGGGAAGGGCAGCGGCGGGGAGGCTCCGGGAAGCTCTGGGGCGAGGAAAGGGGGGTGGGGGGGGGGGGGGGGGGAGGCGGCTGCCGGGACGCCGAGGAAAGTCCCGAGGAAGCGCGGCCGCCGGGGCCGGGGCGGGGGGGAAGCGGGGAAAGTCCCGGGCCGGGGCTGCGGGGAAAGGGCCCGGGCGCGGCCCCACCACGGGAGCGGCGCGGCCGAGGCCTGGAGCCCAGGCGCGGCGCCCCGGGGCGGGGAAGGGAAGGAAGGGAAACAAGGAAGGGGAACGGGCACCGGGGAGAGCCGCGGCCCCGGGCCGGGCCCCGCCCGCTGCTCACCTCCGGCGCCCGCCGCGCAGGAGCAGAGCAGGAGCAGCGTCCCCGCCAGGTCCATCTTCGCCGGGCCCAGGCCCCGCCGCCGCCGCCGCCGCCGCCGCCGCCTACCCACAGCGCATCCGCCCCGGTCGGCGCCGGGATGGGGAGGGAGGGGCGAGCGCCGCGCCTCGCTCCGCTTTGTCCCCCGCCGCGCTGCCGCCCGCGGATCGCCTGGCAGCGGCGGCTCGGCTCGGCTCGGCTCCGTTCAGCCCGGCTGCGTCGGGTCGGGTCGGGTCGGGTTCAGCTCCGCTCCGCTCGGCCCGGCCCGGCCCTGCCCGGTTGCCCCCGCCCCGCTCCCTCCGCCCGCCCCCGCCCGACGCCGCCGCCGGAGGAGGGGCGGGGCCGCGGGGCTCGCCCCCTGCGTGCGGGAGGGGCGGGGCGGGGCGGGGCGGGGCGGCCGGAGCCTGGCTCAGCGGCGCCCCCCGGCGGGGGAGGGGAGAGGCGGCCGCGGGCAGCGCCGGGCGGGCCCCGCCTGAGGCGCGGCGGCCGCGACCCCCGGGCGGGCCGGAGCCGCCCCCACTCCCCGCTCCCCCTCGGCCCCCCCTGCTCCGTGCCCGGCTGGCCGAGCCCCTCGCGGTTCGCGCTTTGCCCCGCGACCCCCGCTCTCCGGACGCCCCCTCTGTGGGGGGGGCTTTCTGACGAGCTGCGCTTCGCGGTCGTGCCCCGCGTTCGTTGCCCGCTCCGTGTAACAGAGTCCCCGCTAACGGCATCGGCCGGTTCCCGAAGCCCTTCCCCTGGCGCTTTGTTTATTTACTTCATTAAACGCGCGTCCTGCAGCCGTGTGGGGCCAGCCCGGAGGTTCCTCTGCTCTGCCAGGACCTGGGGCCGGCACCCTGCTCCCAGCAGCCCGGCTCCCGCACCGCGTCACTTTAGGAACTCAGGAAAACAACAAATTCTGGGCAAACCGCTGTTCTCCCAGGAGAGCCTCCCTTCGTCTCCAAACTGCCCCGAAAAGTTGTGCCGGCGCGTACGCAGGGAGCACCGCGCCAGCGAAGGCGCCTCGGATGCGGCTGCTGAAGTCGATGCAACAATTTGCGGGGAACCCAGCAGGGGAACCCCGAGCGCAGCGGCGGGGAGGGGCGCTCCCACCGGCCCCACGCCGCCCCCTCGCTGCCCCTCAGCGCCCGCTGCCGCCCCGCCCTCGGGGCTCCCCCCTGCCCCCGGCGGCCGCCGCCCGCCCCCACGTCCCGTCGGGGCGGAGCCGCCGCCGCTGTCATGGCGTCGCGGGCGCTGCTGGCCGGGGAGCGGCCGCTGCGGCGCCGGTAGAGCGCGGAGGAGCCGGGCATGGAGGGCCTGGCGCAGCCCCCGCCGCCCCAGGGCTCGCCGCAGAGGGGCGGCGGGGGCGCCGCCGGGCAGCTCCTCCTGGAGGAGGCGGCGGCGGGCGGTGGTGGCGGCGGCGGGGCCGGGCCCGCTGAGGCGGGCGGCGGGCGGCGCAGCCCTTCCCCGCGGCCGGCCCCCGAGGCCCCCCGGCCGCCGTCTCCCCCGCGGGCCGCGGAGGACACGGGGCCGGCGGAGCCCGGGAGCCCCGAGGCGGCGGAGGCGGAGGCGGCCGGCTCGGGCTCGGGCTCGGGCTCGGGCTCGGAGAGCGGTCCCGCGGGGGCCGGCCCCGGGAGCAGCGGGGCGCCCAGCCCGCCGGGGGAGGAGTCGCGCAGCCTGGAGTCGCTGGAGTCCTTCTCCAACCTGCACTCCGGCTGCCCCAGCAGCTCCGAGCTCAACAGCGACGCCGAGGAGGCGGCGGCGGCGGAGGCCGCCCCGGGGGGCCCGGCCCCGGAGCCCGGCGGGGAGCGGCCCGCGGCGGGCGCGCAGCTGCTGCCCGCCTCCAAGGAGCGCTTCCCGGGCCAGTCGGTGTACCACATCAAGTGGGTCCGCTGGAAGGAGGAGAACACGCCCGTCATCACCCAGAACGAGAACGGCCCCTGCCCCTTGCTGGCCATCATGAACGTGCTGCTGCTGGCCTGGAAGGTAGCGGGGCTGCGGGCGCTGGGCGGGGCGGGCTGGGGGCTGGGGGCTGGGGGCACCGACCGGGCACCGCCGGCAGCCTGCGCTCAGCCCCTGCTGCTCCCAGCACGCACAGAGCTGGGAAATGAAGCGCAGGAGCTGCGGGCGGGCTCTGTGCTGCCGGGCCGCTGCTCGGGGGGTGCTGGCACACGGGGCTCACGGGGTTGTTGCCTCAGTGGAGAAGTCAAAGCCTAGGCGGTGCTTTTCTAAACGCCGTGTTGTTGGCAGGTGTGTCGGGGTTTTTAGGAAATATTTCCAGACATAGCACTGAAAACTTAGGCAATGTTTTTGGAAGATTAATTCTGAAGCGAGGTGTATGCAGGATTTAACAAGTACAGGTTTGCGATAGGGATGTGCTCGCAGTTACGTGGCAGGGATTGGAAATCAGGTCGTGACCAAGTACTGCTGAGACCTGGAAGTTCTTGTGTTCTGCATAACCAGCGTGGATGCGACTTCCTGTACTCTGAGAATAACTTCTAATTATTTAAAATAGGCGACTAGAACGTAAGGCGTAATATAATTGTTAGCGTTTACAGGTAAAAGGAACGTCAGTTGGAGAAGAGCTGGTGAGCTGTGTGTATTGCAAAACAAGAAGGGGTCCTTTTCAAAAAATACTTATAATTCAACCCCAAAAGATTGACGAGATGATAGAATGAAGTTTTAGGATAGGAAAGCTTTATGAGAGTGGTTCTGATGTTGTAGTATGAAGGGGAATAAATTTGGTATTGGAGGAGTAGGAGGCTGTTCACAGGTATAACAGGTGATAAAGAAGAAGACCAAAATTAAAGCAATAAGAAGAAATTTGTTCAGAAGTGATTTTTCAGAAGATTAGTGATAGGGTGTGTGTTTTGTTTTGTTTTCTAAGTTGATGTCCCTGTACGCTTTCCTGAGCAGAATAGCTCATGCGTCAGGAGGAATGCTGTGGACTCAGGCTCTGTAATTGATATTTAGACATTGGTGAAAGCAGTACAGGGCAGTTGTGTGACTACCTCAAGAAGGTGTGAAGGTCTTTATAGACTTCAGTATTTAATGCTTTCTTCTTATGCTCCCTCTTTAACGTGTAGAGATGAGTACAGGGCCTTGGAGAGCTTGTTCTCTATCATTAGTTGTGGTGGGGTTTTGAAAGAAGTGGCTGGTTTGAGGATTTACGTTTTTAACTGTCCATTTAATGAAAGAATATAAATGGGACTGCGCTGTCCTTGTTGTTTGCTCTTAATTTTTGAGAGGATTTCTTCCTTAGCATTCTTCCTTCCATTCCACAATTATATAACAACTTTCTTCTGCTGTCCTCCATGCAGAATTCTATCTGACAGTCTGCTTTGATCAAATATTATGTTAGCAATAATTAATGTGGTATCAAATTTTATGAGTCGGTGGAAATCAAAATGCATCTTTGGAGTGTCCTTACACTTCTTGTTGCTAGCATTACCGAAAGGGTTTTCTATAATTCTATCAGTTTGTATAAAACCTCAGCAGAATTTACATGATTTGCAGACAGACAGCAATTCAGCAGTTTAGGTGAAACTGCCAATATGTGACTATTTATATGCTTCAGTGTTTTCTTGTTAGTTGGTTGTGTATTTCCCCTGCCTGTAATTGATTCTCCTAATTAGCGCCTCTCCAAATTAGCCTTTCTTTTCCCCAGTTTATAGTCAAGAACCATGTTGGCATTGTTTGGAGTGGCAAGCTTATTGGCAGCTCACCTGCACATCATTGACAGTAGCCAGCTACATACCAAGGCTGAGGATGGACATCCACATTCTTCTCCCTTCTGAACCAAGATGAACACTAGATTGGGTCAGGTAATTATAATTTGGGAACAAGGGAGCAGACAAACAGTTGAAAACAGGCAAAAGCAGAGCGAGAATACCATAGCGTGTGTGTTAGATGAAAAGGAATTAATGTGGCAGGGGAAAAAATGCAGTAAAAAAATGAGATGAGAATGGGGAGGAGGGAAAATAACTTGAATAGAGTATAACGATGTAAACAGTTACACTTTAGTGCCTCTTCCCTGTATCCACCACTAACCTTCCTTCTTAGAACTCTGTCATGACAAGGTTGAGTGTTGTGGTCAAGCTGTAGGTAAATGTGGTCTCAGATAATGCATGGAAGTTCTCAGAGTTGAGAAGTGTTACAGTCAAAATGTTAGTTTTTGTTTTCATAATTATTTCCCTTTGGATGTCCAATTATATGGACATTGCTTATCCCAGAATGGGAGTGATAGTTTTGAGATCCAGTACTACACGCAGAAGTGAAAGTTGAATTTGGATTTTTGTTTGTGATGAGTTGCACACAATCAATTTGTTTAGAACTAAAATTTACCTTTACTTCTTAATAATGTAAACCATAATCATGGCACTATTTGTACCTTAACCTCAAATATATATTAAGGAGAACTCACTTTTTCCAGATGTTTCAGTGCCTCAAAGTTCAAGCTTCTTACCCCTATGCTAGATTATCATTTTAAATGTTAGCAGGTGTGTGTTCTCCTGTCTGTGTCCCAATTGCTCTCTGATAAAACATATTATTATTATTATTTTGAGATAGCATCTCTTAACTCAGTGAGGGCAATAGGTAGGATATTAATTTGCTTAAAGGATTGCAATAGCTACGATACAGGAAGACCTAATAGGTATTGTACCTTAAACACGTCATGTACTCAAAGTATTTCTTCCTAGTGGTTCTTGAAAATCTTGTTCATTACTTGAGCAAGATTCTTCTCTGTTCTTAGTCACTATTCAGTTTTTACTATGTCTCAGGGGAGGTATTTTTGAGATTAGATTTAAGATCTTTATTTAATGATGCAAGCATAATTGAAAATAATTGAGTGTTGCGCCTATATGTACTTGGCTGTGAGACAGTGGCTTGGCAATACGTGGGTTTTTGGAAATTCCGAAATAGTAGCAAGGATCTGGATGTACAACTCTGAGGTGGCAGATTGTACGAGTTGCGCTTTCAAATGTTACAATTATCATTGTTTTTCTCTTGTTTCTGCTGACTGCCTGTATAGCCTTTAGGAGCTAGAGCTGATGAGTTGTTAAAAAGAAGTTACAGAAATGCTCTAAATCAAAGGAAAACAAAAGCAGTATGAGACCAAGTTGAAAAAGTAACTGTTGTGCACAACAACGTGGAAACCATTGAGGCTTCTGTGATGGAAATCATAGAATCGTGAATGAAAACAAAATGAAAAAATGACTTTTCAAGAAAATCATGAAATGAAAACAAAAGTAGAGCATTGAAATAAGCATATAATGTGTATGTCAAAGCATGAGTTTTCTGACACAGAGCAGCTTTGGATACAGTCTTTCAGCTTGCTTAAAACTGCAGACTGCTCAGTTTTCCTTCAGGACTGTGGCTTGCTGTGTACTTGAGCTAGCAATGTGAAGCTTGCTTTTCGAAGTACCTTTTGTGGTATTTGTTAGACGTAGTCCACAAATCTCTGATCGCTTCTGGCATTGTATTAGACTGCAATTTTGGGTGGGGTTGTGGAATAGCCCTCGTTAAGATTTACTGTATGGTGATTGTTGGATGCTGAAAGCTCAGTAAATGTGCCAAGGAAGTCTGTGAACTTTAACAGAAAGCACAGAAACTACATATCTGAAATAGGCAACACAACACGAATCATATTGGAACATAAAATAAGCCTAAGGGAAAACATATTTAAATAGAAATATAAATAACTAATATTAATGAAGTCTTGGGAAGTGAATACATAAGGAGTATCTTGTTCAAGTTTTTGTATAGGAGAATAATTCTAGTAGTATATACTGATATCATCTTTAAAAGTGTTATAGATCACAGCCCTCTTAACAAATGGAAGGTTTTAAGAGCGACAGTACCTGCATGCCTGGTTACACAAAACTGTTGGTACCTTTCAGAACCCCACGAACTCCCAGTTAGATGGCTGTAGCAGTTCTGTAAATGAATGTTATATAACCACTGATGCTTAGGTATATCCAAACTGAGGTGCAGCGAAGAGAGAGAGAGTAAAAAAAAACTGCTAGTTAGAAATTTTTAGTGTTAAGTTCTTGTAAAAATGGCCTGTTTCTCAGAGGAGCTGCGCACAGTATGCTCCTGCTGATATCCATTTGGTTTGTTGGAGTCTGCAGTGGCAGTGCCTAGTTTGAGGTCTGGCATTGGCTCGTTACATGTGTTCTGCTTTTCCTTTTTACTGAGCTAAACCTTCTTATGGCCAGAATTTGCACAGATTGCTCAGATGAACTTGCTCAGCTTCTAAGATGAGTTGCCAGTGAGTTTTTGATGAATGCTCAGCAGGCGCCTTGGCAGCTTTCCTCTGCATCTGTGAGATGAGTTGAGCTTGCAGATCAATGGGCCTGTACTTGTGCATTTTCCAGGACAGGAAGCCTGCTCTAAGGGACTGAAGGAACCCTGTTTGAGAGGGGAGATGTGAGATTACCAGGCGATAACACATACTATCAGGCTATGAGTTTCTGAAGCTTTTCCTGCAAGGCAAGAGCTATATGTTTGTAGGAGATACTCATCACCTCTTGCTGGCGCAGGCTGAAGCTACCCTAACCTCTTCCAGAACACTGAATTGATAGAGTTGCATACTGTAAATAAGTATATTTTGAGACTATGAATAATAGCCAATTAGAAATGTTTATGGTCCCTTTCTTTATGCATAGTATTTACAGAAGTGTTAGCTTCAGTGCAGAGTTATATTACTTTTTTTTTTTTTTTTAGGCCCTTCTGAAGTGTTGGAGAATACAGTTGGAATTATCTCAAGGCAGTATTATTTCATTTCCCAGTTTGTAGTCTATTGCATAGAAACAGCATAGGTTTTGCCAAACAAACTGTTCAGTATGAAAATTTGTTTACCAACTGTTTTTTAACTGCAAAAATGTCTCAACTGTACCTCACATAGTTGGTTAAGAAAGATTTTTTTTTTTATTTTTTTTTTTCCCCAACTCTGGAGGGTTGGAAGGAAGCTCGAATGAAAACTAGGCAAGGTTGGGGGAGAGATTAGGGAGGAAGACAAAGAAACAGCAGTAAAAGGGTACTGGAACTGGGTGGAAGCTGAGGAAATGCATTTTTCCTAAAACATGAAAGTAATGTAAAATCCAGCAACAAAGCACGGGCATGTATTTGTAAATTTTCTGTCCCTCCAAAGTGTTGTGGACAACAGCTTTCACTACTACTGCTTACATTGTTTTCTTCTGTTGATTCACGTGGAGCATGGCTGTGGTCCTGCATGATTTTTGTCTCCCTACTTTAGTTTTAAGGTATTTTTCTTTCCTTTTTCCTCTTTGGTGTGTTGTCTTTCCTGTAGTTCAAGTGTTTGCAATGAAGCCCTAAACAGTCAGGCAATGTCGTGTTTTCTGTGTATCGAGGCAGTTCTGTTGAGAAGTACTCATGACTGTTGGAGCCCAATTAGCCCACTGTAAAGGTGTGATCGAGGTCTCATGAAACATGCACTGCCTAAAATTATGCTGTAAATTAATCCATTATCTTTGTTTAGCATTTAATTAAGCTGTTAATTTTGGTATTTAGCTTGTTAAAACATCTGACTGGGAGATTCTGCAGATACGAGCAAAATTACTTTGATTCAGTTCTTCAGTTAAAAATTAAATTCCTAACCACCGCGGTTTGAGGGAAAATTGAGATTTATTAACCAATAACACAAACACATCCCTTAATCCATAAAGTCTGAAACAGTAATATATTTATGCCATGAATATGCAGAGTTTAAATATGGGCAAACCAAGTAATTATGCTTTATAGCTGCTGTTTGTAACGTAGGCATGCTTCTAGATCCTCAAAATTGACACAGAGCAGAAATCCCCAAGTAGTGCTGGCTGAGCTGATGCATATGCTTAAAAATCAAGCAAGCTATCTTCAGTCCTGAAGAAATCATAACATTAGTCCTGCTAATAGTTGAAGTGGTGTGATAATTTTTCTTGATGTGATGTTGATACAACTGTACTGTTTGTAATCCCAGGACTGTTTGGGGTTTAGGTAGTCTCATTCATTCTGTTTCGTGCTGTTAGATGTGCCTTAGCAGCAGTAGTGACCCAGCCCCAGCTCAGGCACAGCTAATAGTTGCTTGGGTTTAAATGATACCAGCTCAGAACTGGATGTGTAGGAATCAGCTTTTTCAGCCTTTAGTCCTGTTACCTATGTGGCAAAATACTTTGTGTTTATGTGCACACTGAATAGGAATATTGCGAACAGGATCAAAGATTCTGGAAACCTTTAGCATGCATAGTGTTAGTGAAACTTAACCTGTTCCCCATACTTTTTAAGGCATTTTGAAAGTTGCAATCAGTCGCTGCTCGTTTAAAAGATGTTTTCAAAAATGTATGTGCTTATGAATGCATGACTGATTTTTTTTTTTCTTGTTTAATTCATATACTTTTAAGTTTTTTTGGAAGTAGCAGAACTAATTAAACTTTCTTGCAAACTTATACTTTACTGATTTCCTGCTTTACTAACAATTTATAGCCCCCTAATCTATAACTCCAATGCCTTCAATGTTCATACTTTTATTCTTATCCTTCCCCAGATCCCTGATCGTACTGTCAGCCTCTTTCTGGTGGAGAATGGTGATCAGTGTTAAGGAATTAGATTTTATATATATATATGTGTGTGTGTGTATACATCTCCTAATACTCAAATACCAGACTTTCTTGACTTTCTCTAGTAAGATGTGGAAGAGAGGGTGAGATGAAAAACTGATGAGAAAGTTTAAAAAATAAAAAAACAGAAGACTCCTGTGTTACTCCTTGACACTGCCAGAAGCATGGTTTTGTGTGAATCTGTGCTTGGGCTTTTGGTGCAGGGAAATATGTAAATGGGAGTGAGCAACCAAAGCATTTACCCAGGATGCTGGATGGAGGAGATGAATCTAAGAAGTTTTGGTCTTGACAGCTGCCAGGGTGGTCAGTTGTAGTACGTGATGGTGACAGGAATGGATCAGGGAGAATGGAAGCTTCACACTGAGTTGTGTGTATTTGGCCTTTCTGTAAGGAGTTAAACTGAACCCTTGAAATGTGAGCATGGGATGAGAGGCTGGGAGGTCATTTCCTCAAACCTGTGCGAGCCTTGTCTTCCCTGTCTTGGCAGCAGCTCCCCCAGGTTTTCTACAGCCTCATATCTGTTCACTGGAACTTTTGAGTTAAGACCAGTTAAGAGATATAAAGAAGTAGTTTTGTTGTTGTTGTTTTGTTTTTAAACTAAGTGTGGCTACATTTCTCAGGCTGTTCTTCCTCCATGCTTGCAGCTGAGCTATGGCGAACAGTGTAAACTCCTGTGAAGTTGAGGGGGATGCTGGTGAAAGGTTTTGATGGGAGAAGGGAGCACTAGGACAGAGCTGCAAGTGAAAGAGAGTACTGTGTGCATGTGGTTTCTCTAAAAACTGAAGTGCAACCTTATCCTTCTCATAGCTTTTCTTTAGTAGAAGCCCTGCTAGGCTAATGGTCTCACAAATTGGTGAGCCAAATGTGATCAGAAGACTTCAGGCTAGAAATACCTTATTAATACTTCCTAATCTGCATTGTTTTGAAATTTTAAAGAGAATATACTTTTACTTTCACAGGTTAAGCTGCCACCGATGATGGAAATCATAACGGCTGAACAGCTGATGGAATATTTGGGTTAGTAATTACTCACAATAGATAGTTTTTGCTTACATTATACTTCTTAGTGAGTAGTAGGATAGGACTGTTATTTACTAACTTTTTTTTTTAATCTAGCTTTACTTGAATGCATATTTCAAGAATATTACTCATGGTATTCAGTAACACGTTTTTTCTCAACAGTCTTCTGTACTGTTTTCCTAAGTTGTTAGCCTAATGATGCAGTTGATGCAGTTTAGTATGCCAGTGTGTCGGTAGATTTAAACTTATTCATGTCTTTTAATGTTTCGTTACAGTCCACAGAATGGAACAAGTCGATTGTACTTTTAATTGTCAGCAGTAACTATAATCCTTGACCCAATTAAAATAACATGAAAAATGAATTTAGTTGTCATGGTGACTGGGGTCTCATTTGTGGGCACTGTTCCATTACCAGATTCAGTCTTCGGCAAAACTGCAGCTGTTTCTATCTGACAAGTCTAACTTCAACAGCTCAGAGTGATCCAGATGTTACAAGTGCATTTGCCCTAGTTCTTAAGCTATATGCACCACAGATCCTTGCCTTTGTAGCCTAACAAATGTAAAACATTTAAGCTTAATATACTAACTAGCTTTGGTATTCTGAAGCAGAAGAAAAACTTACTATATTCTTTCTTTTTGTTTGTAAAGAAAGCTTTTCAAAAGCCTACTGATGAATATTCCAATAGCTGAAAAATAGTTAATTACTTAACTTGGGAAAAAAAAAAGCAACAACACACCAACATCTTTTAAGAACTCTAATTTCCTGTGCCTAAACACTCTTTTCTAATTGTAATGATAGAACAATGCTATCTGAACTCACTACCTAATCACAGTTAGCTAAACATATGCCTTGAAGTGTCTTCTGTCTTCAAGACATATCACTTTCTGGAATTATTTTATTAAATTGAATCTCAAAATCATTTTCTTAGATCATTTAGATTCCTATTTAGTCAACAGGATTAGCAGTTGCCAAATTGTTCTCCTACAGCTTAAAAAGAACTTTGAGGGGAAAAAAAAAAAAAAGAAAAGCTCCTCAACCATATTGAACAATTTGAAGAGGTGATAAAATAAGAAACCTATGATGATGCTTTTATTAAATCTATAGAACTTCCTTGTGTAGAAACATAGTTTTTAGAAATGAAACAAGGGAATAAAAATGAAAAGCATAGAAATAAAATTGAAAATTTTGGGTGAGGCAGGTTATGGAGACCACAATTTTTGGTCACCAAAGTTTTTGCAAATCTTGAACCCCTACACCTTGATTAACTGATTAATAACCTTTATGATGCAGACACAGATGGAATACAGGCCTTTCAGAATTATTAGTGTATGAAAACATATTCAGAAATGTACGTAGTGTCAGTCAGGATGAACAGTTGCAATTCTTAAATTGTGTTATGCAATTACATGTTTTATTGTGAACAGTTTTGACTTTTTATGAATCAAGGCAAAGAGGGAAGGTAAATAATTAAGAGGCTGGCATGATACTCTAAGTGATTATGGAATGCTGTTTTAGTAATGACATTTGAATTTCACTTCTGAATTTATGACCTGAATATTTTTTTATTTTTTTTTTACTTTGTACTTATAATTCAGGCTATAAAACAATGGCATCTCATTTAACAGAAAGCTTAAATTGTTATATTTATGATCAGGTAGCTTCAGTCAGAAGTGTTCAAAGAAATGTTGAATAAACTATATTTTTGCTTTTTTTAGGAGATTATATTCTTGATGCAAAACCAAAAGAGATATCTGAAATTCAGCGTCTAAATTATGAGCAGGTAAGAAGCTGCTCCTAAAATACATATGCTTATGTAAGGTACTAAAAGGTACTATTTTTTTCCTCACTTAAGGTTTACTGATTTCTTAAGAACCAGAAGCATATCAACTGTTATTAGTAGTCTTCCTTTTTCTCTAGGCTTGATGTAGAGTATTATTTGTAAGTATTTCTTATTAGCAAACAAAAATTTCTTACCCGTTAACACAAGAAACTATTGCTTTTCTTCTTGCAATGAGTGTAACAAAAGAATATTTTTCATATTGAGGAATAATAACATGGAAGTATACATGGAAGTGTGTAACAGGGTGGCTGCTCTTTGAAGTCTTCTATTTTGCATTCTTCAGCATGCTCCATTCTGTGGTCTCTGCTAGTCTTTCACTGATGATAACAGATGAAATGAGATCTGGTTTTAAGTGTTGATGGACAAAAAGAGGTTTATTACATATAATACAAGGCAATATTATTTACACTGACCACAGTTTTATCACAGAAGTCTTTCTACATTAAAAGAAAATGTTATTCTTTTCCAAAAATATTGATGTATATATGTATCTTGGAGCAAATGTTTCAAGCTCTGTGATCACAGTTGTTTCGTTTTGATTACTTGTGGGGGACAAAAGTGATTTGAATTTAAGTATTTCAGGCTAGTTCTCTTTATTGTTAGGTTGTCTTTTCTTGCTAATGTTCGGTGTTGAAAACCGAAATATCTTGGGATGATTTAAATTAGAATGAAGATTGAATGGATTCTTTTAAGAACCTTCCAAAATATGGCTTATGTCAAGTTACATGAATTCTCCTTGCGATAACTGAGTTAGCTATATTTATTTTTTTTCCCCACAAAATGCTACGTTGTTAAAGATTATAGCAGTCATCAAGTTACAGGAGGTTGAAGAAAATTATATACCTGGTAAAACTACAACTCCTGCGGCTTTCTTGTGCTAAATATATGTATTTACTAAGTAAATGTCACAAATCTTTTTGGTAGATATGTAACTGTACAATTTTAAAGAAACCTCCCGTTCTAGGAGTATTCTACATTCCATTCAAACATACCTGTAGATGCACTTGTGATACTACATGAGAGGGAAAAAGGAATTAGGTAACTGAGTCTTATAAAATTATTACATTTCAGAAGCATTGCAACTAGTCTTGGTGTTACTCATAGTTTTGTGTTTATCATGTCACACAGTTAACACTCTGCCTAAAACAATATATTTTTTTCTTACAACACTGAAGAATTTTGTATATTCTTTAGAATACCAAGTTACAAGATGCATGGAGTGACTTCTTAAAAATACTAAGATCTGCCTTATGTTCTAATGTACAGGCATGTGTTGTGTTGGCATCCTGCCCTATTAATTATCAATCTGTTAATTTGTCTTTTAATATGCTGCCGAAACAAGTGTTCCTATCAATATATTGATTATGTTACTGTTTCATGAAGCCAGTTATTTCAAATTCAGCAAATTGCTTCTGGAGTGATGAAATGTCATCTCTACATACCCCACTTATACCTTGTTAGCCTATCTAGCTCTTTAATAGTTTTCTCATTACTCATCCAATATAGTCATTTGTGTACATCTTTATCTTCCCTTATTGAGCCCATTAGTTGTTGTTTTGCCATTAACTGTCTTATTAAAAGAAGACAGAGGCAACTGTCTTTCACGACCAGTGGGCTTAGTCTGTGAATCTTGTCTCCGTTTCATTTCTGATCTGTATTTCTCTATTTTTGTTGTGCTTTTTTAACCATTGTTGCAATCCTGAATCCCTCTTAAGCAACAAATGTTGCAAAACCAAGCAAACATAAAAACTCTGTTTCCCTGAATCTCTTGCAAACACTGAAGTACTTTCTGAAGATATTCTTTGTGGATTCTTCTCGCTTGGTAGAAAATACTGCAGGCTTCTAAGCTATGCCTTTTGTTGTCCTTGTGGCATGTGTGGCTTAGCGAGTGTGAACTTCATCATTTAGACACCAAAATTGCAGTGTTTTAGTCTGTGACCAGAGAGATGCTATGTACCGTGATGATACAAACAGCAACACTGCTTCCTTCCAAATAAGCATTTTATACACAAATGCAATTGGATAAACTTGCATTTAAGTGTGCACTTGGCAGTGGCATGAATAACGTGAATGTGTTGAAGCAGTTTTCTAGCTAATTTCTCCTTTTCTAATTTTTTTTTTAAGAACTATTGAGTTGCTGAGAACTATGTGATGAAAGGTTACAAGGGGTAACTACCAAGTATACAAAGCTCTAGTTGGTCATCTGTTTCCTTTTCTTTCTGTTGTCAGAATATGAGTGATGCAATGGCAATTCTACATAAATTACAGACAGGCCTGGATGTCAACGTGAAATTTACAGGTGTACGAGTATTTGAATACACACCTGAATGCATAGTGTTTGATCTTCTTGATATCCCTTTGTACCATGGATGGTTAGTGGATCCCCAGGTAACTTTTTTTTTTTTCCTTTTTCCATATAACTCCAAGAGAAAATAAATTACCCAAATTTTATTGGGGGTAGGAGAGAATTTTAACTGCAGTCAATAGTAATGAATACTGCAGTCAATAATAATGAATATGGTAATGGATATTCTTAAATCTAGTTAAAAAAAAAAAAAAAGTATTTTCCTTAGAGGAGTGAATCTAGACTGTACTTATTTTTTTTCTACAGTAACTTTGCAGAGGTTAGGTATTTTTTGAAGGTAACATTCCAAACCCACTAAACTGAAATCACAACAGTGTAAATGAGAGTTTTTGTTCTGAGAGACATAAGAAGTTGCCAGATACAATGTACCAGTTAGTGTTTTTGAAAGCTCAAGAGAGAACACTTGGAAGGAATGCAAGGTTACTTTCCTCTCCACTTTACGTCTGATTTACATCTACCAGTACCAGCTTTTGAGAACTGAGGACTTTAGAACCAATTAAGGAGAACTGCATCTTTCAGAAAAGTAAAACTTTAAAAAAAATAAAAAATAAAATTAATGGTATTCAGGTATTATTTAAATAAACAGTGAAAATGATACTGTTTACTTAAGGTGAAACTGAGGAGTTTGTCTGGAAGAATCCACCTCTGAGATTTTTTTTTTTTTTTTCCCTCACACCTTGTTCATGAAAGCTACTATTCTCTTATTCCCCTTTCTTTATTGGAAAATAGCTTTATTATAATTTAGCATAATGGTGCCAATCAAGAAGAGATCGTTATAGGCAAATGGACTCTGTCCCAGGATGCATGATTTTGATGTGACCTACGTGGCTTATACCGTAGCAGATCACAATTTGTAACTGTAGTTCTAAAATGCAGTGTATCAACAGTGTCTTTTAATGATGCTTTATGTTAAGATCCACTGGGATTCCTAAGTGATAGCTATTCTTTTTGCAAAGATAATAAGCTCACTGTAATTATGGTTATTTACATTTTTGCGTGGCTGTTCATGAGGTGAAATCCTATAAAAACTGATTTTTAGAAGTACCCATTTTTCTAATGAAGTATAATGCTTACAAAGAAAACAATGTTGATGTGTATAACATATTCAAGATGTTAGCATTTACCTGAATCCTAAGGGGTTCTGTAACTTGAGCTGTGAACACCATAATGGAGAAGTAACTGGAAGGGAGAATATCTCTAACAAACTGCATCCCATACTCTCTTCTCTCCAGGTTAGCAACAGCTTTTGATACTAAGTTTTATCTTCAGGGATCCGAAATGGGATGTGAGACTGCAAGATATTTAACAGTCTGATGTAAATCTTTTTGGCCTAATATTCTTAGGAGGATAACGTTCTCTATTTGTTGAAACTTTAAAAAAATATATATATCTTAAGAATAATTAGTCTAAGCTTACAGTTTTGTTCCGTTCTTCACAAAGATAAGTTCTCCTGTTCTCTCCTGCTCCAGGTTGCTGATATAGTAAAAGCAGTTGGTAACTGCAGTTACAATCAGCTAGTGGAGAAGATAATTTCTTGTAAACAGTCTGACAACAGTGAACTGGTTAGTGAAGGTGAGTAACTTTTTTCTGTTCTTTATCTAATTATCTGCCCTACTGAATCATAACTTCTTACTTTGAGTGTGGGTCATGGTATGTAGCAATATAGGTGCGTAGCTGCGTGGTATCTACTTCCCCTGGGTAGACAAACAGAACTGTGCTCATCTTAACTTCTCTGATGCAATTTCTAAAACAAGGATCAACCTTGTTCTCAATATATGAAATGTGCCTTTTTAAAAGATGGATATAACTTCCTTTTATAAAAACGTAATATGGGCAACATTCAGGTTTCAACTTGGCAACGTATCATCTCCTATAATTATTATATAATTATATACTACACAATGAGAAGCAAAAACTCAGTGATACCAGAAGTGGATACAGCACTTTTAAATAGGAGAGGGTTATTTACAATGCTCAGTTTTTTTTAATCTATTTGTTTTCTTCTCTCTGAATGTGGTCCCTTATATTTGTTGTAGTAAGGGGACACTTTCGTAGGGAGGAAATTGGGGGGGAGGGGGGCGAGAATAATTTAATTGTTGCATTCAAATTTGCACATAGGTGTAAATTTGGTGAAAATAGGTGATTGCAGGTCTTTAGAAATCAAAGAAGAGGATATCCCCTTTTATTGTTACTCTATAGTTAAAGGAGTAGTTTTTGTCTTGGTTTAGTCTTGGGTTTTGGAAGAATTTTTAGGGTTTTATTTGCTTGGCATATTATCCTAACGATATCTCTTGCATCATTTTTTGTTTGACCCACTTTTATGGAGGTTAGTTACTGAGGAGTGAGTGCCGTCTCAACGTTCAGAACCACCTGCTTATACAGGGCAGAGAGTTAGCTGTCTTACAGTACTATGGTGAGGACAAAACACAGCCCCCCCTTTTTTTTTTTTCCTGTATATCTTGGCATTAGACCAACTGTATATAATGAGCAGTGTCCACATTCCACTACCAGTAGTTATAACTCTGGGTCTCTAGGTTAAGCTTAGGTTAAACTTGTTTTTAACTCAACCTTAGCAAGACAAAACAGATTAAGATGAATTTGTAGGGTTTTCACTTTCTTTTTTCTGTTAGTGTCATCACAGCAAATATTTTTGCTTACTTGACATAAAGCGGGGCAGGGAAGATTACCAGGTATTTGTATGTTTTGAAGTATGTAACAGGCCCATAACAGTATGTATTGCTTTTGTAGGATTTGTAGCTGAGCAATTTCTAAATAACACAGCTACACAGTTGACATACCATGGGCTGTGTGAATTGACTTCAGCTGTCCAGGAAGGAGAGCTCTGCGTGTTCTTCAGGAATAACCATTTTAGCACTATGACCAAATACAAGGTATATTCAGTGTTTTCATTGTTTTTAATTTGGTGGGTTTTGTTTGCATTTCAAAGCAAATCTTAATTTTTCTGTCTTGAAAAATAAATAAATTTGTTCTTGTTAAGTAAGGATGAATGTAAGGTCTATCACGAATGCTACTTGCAATGTATTGATTGCAGTCTTAGATATGAGGATCCATTATCACTTGAAATCTTACTGTAACTTTTCCCTTTGTGTTCTGTTTGTTTCTTGTGTTAACTCGTTTTGTGGTTATGTGTAATGATGTAATTTTCTTATGTGATTTAAATTTACTTGAGTATGTAAGTGGCAAGGGTAAGGTTAATGGATTCATTTAATTTCTTGTTCCTGAAGATATGGAATTTTCTTTTATTTGGAGCAGGAATTGAGTAGCTCTATACATGTGTCCTGGTGTTCAGAATACCAAGTATCTGAGGAAGTTGAGATGAGCCATAATATCGGTTCCCTTTGTTAGAGAGGCAATTAAGTCTGAAGATAAGGAGACAAAATGGTGAGAACTGTGAAAAGAGAACTGCAGAATGTTAAAAGCAGGCGACAACTTGAATGTTTCTGACGCTCCTTTTTCCATGGACTGTAAAATCTGGCTCAGGCAAGTTTATAGTCACTTATGGAGCATCTTTGTTCTTAACACAACTTTGCCTCTAAGGTGATTGTGTATTTCTACATATCTGAGTGTTAGGCAGAACAGGTTGCAATAAAATTGCCTCCTAAGATTTAATAATTCCCTTCTTTTCAGTGATAAAATCAGGCATTTTGAAGTAGATTTTTCCTAGGATTATGATATAAAAATCTTACATGTAGTTAGATATTTCTCTCAAATGTAAGTATAGTGAGTTCTTAAACTTGTATACAACTGTTGAAATTATATGTTGGTTAGCTTTTTTTTAAAAAAAAAAAAAAGACTAATTCCATGGACATCTAATAATGTTAACAAATAGGAAAAAAGTGTGTGCAGCATACAAAAATGCAGATATTACTTCTTTTTTAATCTATCTATTATTTGGTGACCTCATGTGAAGGAAACTTTCATTTGGCAGTACTAATTCTTTTTTCCCCCCATCTGTTAAACTTGGCTGTCATATACTTACCTTTGGTATTTATAACTGAATAACTGCTCATAAACTTGACCTAAAGATCTGACTCGTGGTATTAAAGAGTGGATTAACTCTTCAAGGAAGTAACAAAGCTGTCTTCTAATAACTTCTTAGGGCCACGCTTATAATTTGTTTTAAGTCAATGATATTCTTGAAGGAATAGAAGTGGTAAAAGTATCTTTATCTTCCCTTCCTTCCCCCTAACCAATTAAAAAAAAGTATATGTATATTTGTTTTGGGGCAAAACTATAGTTATGCTCCATGATGAAGCTCATCTATGTTAGAATTTTTAGAGTTATGGTTTTGCTTATCTTTATTTTCTTAAATCTACCTTTTGGAATAACTGGTAGTAGTTCATCATGTGAGGCCATACAGGAAACTTTTTTTTTAATTTAGAGTATACCCCAGATAAAATACTTGTAAATCCTGGAATCAGATTTTTAAATGCTTCACTTTTGTACTGTAACTTTAAAATATAAAATATTCTTGGTATTAAATATATTCAATGAATATCATGGTATATTTTACTTCTTCGAAGTTGCTATTTTGTAAGCCAATCTTCTCCGTTTTGAGAAGTTTCAGACCTCTGACATGAGAAGTTTTGGAATATGGCTCAGAAATATTCCATAATCATTATGACCTCACTTGCAGTTAGTGTTTAGTTTCCATGTTATCTACAGACTTCTAGTTTTTGGGGTTGTCATTTTCAAATGGTTGTTCAACTTGCCAATGACATCTGGTGTGTTGTATGTTACAGGATAAAAGATATTAAGAAACTGTCTTGATTAAGACAAATTCTTCATTATTTTAAAAAGTTAGCAGTAATCTTTCCATCTATTTCCTAGTTATTTGCAGTAGCTGTATGACTAACTATATTCTTAATGATCAAGGAAGTCAGAAACAGATTTGACTTGGGCTTTTAGCCAAGATTAGCTATCTGAAATCTTTGTACTCCAGGATACTCATGAGTGCTAAATACATTGTTGTCAGAGTTGAGATTTCTCAACTGTTTTACTATTTTATTAGGTTTAATGTTAGCTCTGTAGATTTTTAATGGGTTTGCTTTTATTTCAGAGTTCTAGCAGTAGTCAGCAGTAGCTGTGTTATGGAGAAATGCCCATCAATTATGAGAACTGAAGATGCAACATATGTCAAAAAAGATGAAGACATAAAACTTTAGGGTAGGAACAAATAGGCTTTCTTCTGCTCTGTACTGGTGCCACATAACAATTACATGATTGTGATTGAGCAATTCTTATTATTTGTGGTGCTGGGTTGAGCAAATTTTTTTTTAAGTTGCGCATTATTTTTTTCCACATTCTATCTGGTTAGATTGTTTTAGAGGTAATTAATGTTTTCTGTCTTTAAATTTATTATGATATAATATACATTTGTCTGTAACTGCTCAATAAGGTATTATCTTGCAGATATTTTAATACAGGGATGTTGTATTGCAGATGTTTTAACTGGGGAGTTGTAGACTCTGGTAACATCCTTTCCGCAAATAACCAGAACTTCCTAGTTCTTAAATGTTCAGTTCAAAGAATTTGCAATATTTGTCATTATTTTACATGTTATCAATTTAAAAACAGATTCACCAACACTGACAATACTTTACCCAATTACATACTGAGTTTAGAGGAGCATTGCACTGTCAGACTGAAGGATGTCTACCTTGCTATTGGATTCCTTACTTTAAAGGGCTATGTTACTGAAATGAGTTATGTGAAAACATGGAGAAACAGTCCAGTACTCTGAATTCCATAGTTTTTGTATGTATAGTAAAAGAATTTGTTCCATATAAGGAAGGGGAGTGACTCCTTGCAAACTTTTTTTTTGCATTATTACTAACTTAACAGTAACAATGTAGGTTTGAAATTCTTTCTATTTTTTTTAATATCAAGTGCTTCTTGAAACATCAGAAATATAATGTTTGTATGTTCATAATAACTATTTTGAATACCTGCCATAGATTAGGAAAGTATCAGTGTTGTTTCATACTGCAAAACAATTTATTAACTCTAAAAAATTATTAACACTGGTAGCTGATCTGTAAAAGGTAATTCTATGCTAGTTACGGGGATGAAGATAATACTTTGGGCTTTGACATAGACAGTAGGTGAGAAGTTGTTTGTATGGGAATGCTTTTTAAAATTTTTGTTACTTTAAAAAGAATGTTTGACTTACAAACAAGAGAATGAGTGAAAGGAAGAAAACTTTTCAATTTGGTCTGCTGCTTTATTAAAAATATTTGTTATTTTGAAATATTCCTGTTCAATGCAACATATAGACACCTCTAAAATGTTAATCTTCAGGCAGGTAATGTGATTTTTACTTTTTTTTTTTTAATTCCTCATTCAAGGAGTGTCAAATAGAAAGGGTGCATCTAATAGTTTTTCAATTTTAGATGCATCATTCACTTAAATGATGGAAGTTGAGTAATAAAGTAGCAATAATAGAATGGTAGCAGTGCATTCTTTCAGAAATTAATATAAAAAGTTTTGAAGAAATCTTCCTCTGAAGACTTCAGTTTCCTATTTGTAAAGCTACTGAGTTGATATTACAATGTAACTGAAGATTCACAGATCCTATTTTAGAATACAGCATCAGTCCATTTATCCACTTTAGTTATTTAATGTAGTCTTGAATAATTAATACTTCACTATTGCTCTTTGAAGAGTTGAATGATAACTGCATGATACAATATGAAGTTGTCATTTCTCATTTGGAAAAGTTCAAGCACTATTTTGATAAAAAAAATTGTGGCATTTAAAAAAATATCCATGATTTCATGCAAGATAAAAGCAAAAATAGCAAAGTATGGAAGATGTTAATGGTAGTTCAGTTATAACAACAAAAGGGAATAAGTATCCAATTTATCCATTTGCCCAAGTACTCATTTAGTCTATTTCCTGTCTCTTTAATTGGATATTAATAGTCTTGGCTCTTGTGATTATACAGTAATCATTTTCAGCAGTTAAAGGCTGTTGTTTTCTTTTTGCCTTTGCTTTTCATTATACAGCTACTAAATATGTCAAATGATAATTACCTAGATCAAGGAAAAACAGGACTCTGAAGAGGGAATCAGTTTAAGAATGTCTTAGTTCAGTTGGAAAGTTTTTCCCGCTGATGTGCCTGTTATACAACCTAGCAGTTTTTTTCCTGAAAAGTGACAAGGGATTTGATTTTTGAGTATGCATATTGCAATGATGTGCTCTAGGTTTATAAATAAATGTGGGATTTCTGTTTTGATACTCCATATGGGCTTTAGTTCAACTAGAAAATGTATTTCATAGCAAAACCTGCATTTTTTTTCCCAAGGAAAAAGATGTCTGAGTTTGCCATAGTTAAAGCGAAATCATTCTACAGAACAACTCAGTTAGTTCTTCTGGTTTGCACAAAAAAACTTCTAAAATACTAATAGATGTAGGCTGCAGGTGATACTACTTGTTACAAGGCCTCCTTTTCCTGTGTTAATTTCATGAGGAGATGAAGTGATTAAAAATAACGCTTTTAAACTACTTGTTCTGAGGCTAGTTACATACTAATATCTGGTCTTCCAATGCTATATGTAGATTTGTTTAAATTTAAAACTAACCAAAAAATCTAAATGAATGTCTTACTGGAAGGCAACAGTTGCTAGGGGGTCATTTATCATAAATTTGTATCAGACTGTGATAAAGCATTTTCATAATTTTACAGGTTTTCTTTATTCCATAGGGTCAACTTTACCTGCTGGTGACAGACCAGGGTTTTCTTACAGAAGAGAAAGTTGTTTGGGAAAGCTTACACAATGTGGATGGTGATGGAAATTTCTGTGATTCTGAATTCCACCTACGGCCTCCATCAGACCCTGAAACTGTCTACAGAGGGCAGCAGGATCAAATAGATCAAGTACTGGATTTCTGCCTCTCTTGTATTTTTGTGTTCACTGGTGACTATATGTAGTAAATACTGTTTATTTTTAGTCATATGTATATACAGATGTGTGTATAGGTGTACTCATACAAAAATGACTAGAAAAAAAAATCTTCAGATACCTACATTGAGATTTTCAAAAGTGCTCCTTTGAAATACTATCACAACTTTAAGGCAGGAGAAGACTAAGACCAATCCTGAATAGTTTGAAAGGTCTGATTTTAATCTTTGAGAATCCCTGTCTCCAAAGAATTTACTCAGGTGAACTGTCATATCTACTTTGTATATGGAAACAAGAACAGTACCATGAAACTTCTCCTCATTTTATAAATTTATAAATTCATTTCAGCACGTTGATTGTCAAAATGGAATTTTGTGTTCAGATGCCAACTTCGCTGAATGTAAGACTAGGGCTGTAGTAGAATGCATGTGATGGTGGTAATGTTATTCCTAACTATAAGTAATAGTTTCTGGAAGTCCTATTGGAGACAAGAACTATTTGTGTTAATGCATAAGCGTGTAGTAAGACCACTTGGAAATTCTGCTTGTTTAGAATGTAAGATTTATCTTTATAATCACTGTCATTTTTTTAATACTTTTATATATTTATATATATATTTATATGAGTAAGCAGATGCTTAAAAAAAAAAAAAAAAAAACGAACATCTTAGGCACTGTACATCTCTTTTAGTAGATAATGTGGTAGGATAACAACTGGTAAAATCTTGAGTTGCTGCTGCTGTCTGTCTGTTTGGATATATCCCAAACTATCTTGATTATCTTCTCCTTGGTTTAGGAGTCAGTGTTCCTCATTGATTTGGTGTCAGTGCAGCTCAGTACAGCGGGAACAGATGCTCTAATGAGCATAAATCCCATTTTTACTTAGAAATAGCAAATAACAATGAGACAGCATCAAAATTGTTACATCTACCTTAAACGAGTATGAGCTGGGCACTATCTTTCTTTTGCTGCTGTCCAAGTAAGGGAATTTAAAACTGAAAGCCATTCTTTTAACTAGCTTTTGTGTTTTGTGTGCTGTGACATAGGTACAGTGAAGGGAAAAAAGCCGAAGTAGAGTTCTCGGCCTTTCTGTGGCTCAGATTCTGAACAGGTTCTGAAACAGAATTTCTGCTTGTTTCTGTGAGGTGGATGGATTTGAAGATGGAGGCTAGGGGAAAAGGGATGATACTGTGTAGCTGCCCTTGCTGAAAAATGTACTATGTTATGTACTTGGCTCTTTTCTGCATGAAAGAGCATTAATAAGCAAGTTTACTCTTTAGGATTATCTGATGGCTTTGTCTCTACAACAAGAGCAGCAAAATCAAGAAATTAACTGGGAACAGATACCAGAAGGAATTAGCGATCTAGAGCTAGCAAAGAAGCTTCAGGAAGAGGAGGACAGGCGAGCTTCTCAGTACTATCAAGAACAAGAACAAGCAGCTGCTCAGGTCCAGGTAAGAAAACATTACAGAAGGTGATCACCAGTTTTAGTGAGTATTAACTTAATACTTAACACACACACATCTACCTTTGTAAATGTTTCAGACAGTTAAGGCTGATGCTGTTTACATTGTAAACAGCAAGTAACAAGATGAATATAGGAATCTTAACAAATAGCACTACAACTTTCGCACTGTGCATGCAGATATGACAGTTGCTGGTACTTAAATATTCAAAGCATGTCTAACCTAAATCAAAGTTTCATTCATACTGTTTAAGTTGGAATGATGCGATGAGTTACTACTAAAGGTTGCAAAGATTGCATTAAAAATATTTTACATTAATTGCAAAATAGCATTCAAATAGGAGCTTTTCAACAGTAGTCAAAATTGTCTTTGTTTTGTGTTGAGGAAATTCGTGGTTTTACCTTTCTACGTGTTTCAGTCATGATGCTTTGTGAAATCTATTTTGTCCTGTTCATCCTGAAATTAACAGCTGCTGCTGGTATGCCTTCTCTGCTCCCCCTTAAAAAGCAGTTGTGTTCAGAATGTGTGGAAAATGTGATTCATGCACATGTATATAAGAAGTGGCCATATAACTGATTTTTTGCATGCCAGAGGCAATATTTAAGTTGTCCTGGATTCAGGGGGTTCTTTCCTGCTGGAGATTTTCAAAACACACACACACTCCACATATTTGTAAATAAAAGCAATCTGTTTGAAGGCCAAGTCTTTGGATTGCCTGTGTCAGTTCAGAACCCTTAATGGACACAGCTGTTAAATGTGAAACAAGAAATTTTGATGGTTCCAAATTCTGTGATTTCTGCTGCTTATTGCTTTTATACAATCATCAGTAACTACTCCTAAGACAAAGATGTAAACAGAGTGAAAGGGGATTTAATTTCTGCTGGTTGCAAAAAGTTGGAAAGAACTGAGGAACCTGCTTAACAAGACTTAACAGTATCCTCTTTTGCAGCTATGAATGAATAGTAGCCAGAATAGATGGTGAATGTGCAAACCTTCTGTTGCCTTCTGTCTACAACTCACCAAATTCTTAACTACTTCCTAGTCAGAAAAAACGTCTGCTTTACCACATTTCACCTGTTAAAAAACATACTTTCACTCACAACTTCTGAAATGTGGATTATATTCTTATAAAAAGAAATTGAAAAAAAAAGAGTCAAGTAAATATATAAGTGCCAGAAAATGTTTGAAGACAAATTCAGATCAGTTGCTTCAATAATAAAATACGTGAACACAATAGAAGAGACTCATAGGACTTTAAATATATTTTCAGTTAATTTTGTTTTTTCAGAAATAAGTTTGCATGGAGGTTTTGGAAAATTTTCACTGAAAGACCTTCTACCTGAATTCTGCTGTTGCATTAAGGATGAACTTCTGTATACTTTAAACTAAATAACACTTCCATTTTTTACATATACAATAGCTTCTGCTTGTTTTATTCAAAATGCTATTTTTTTCTACATAGCAGGTGCAAGGTGCTCCTTCTGTAGCAAGTGGAAGACAATCTGGGAGCAATGAACGCAAACGTAAAGAGCCTCGAGAGAAAGAGAGAGAAAAAGAGAAGAATAGCTGTGTTCTCTTGTAACAGAAAATGGATTTATTCTGGAGCCAAGTGCATGTCCTCAGAAGCAAAAGCAAGAAGTAAAAAGGAAGACAAACCCGTTACATGCCGCCTGTGCCTGATTACCCCACGGATTTTGTTCACGTTTCAGGAGAGGATGGGTGACTTTGTTACAATCATGCAGACTTTCTTCAAAGTCATAGCGCGTGTGCTGCTTGAGATGGAATTCCAAATCACAGTTGGATGCGGCTGTGCTTTGAGTTAGTCATAAGTTATACTGCACCTTGTAGCTGAACACACAGATCATGGCGAGTTTTGTGTCATAGTGACATCCATTACTTATTACATCAGTTAGTAAGCTATTTTATCTTCTGCTCTAAACAAAGGAGGTAATTGGTTTTGTGTAAGACTTTTTTTTCCTGAAGTCTGTACACTAGCACAACAGAATCCTGTGTTACTTTAATGATGAGAAACTATATCTTAGGTTGGGTATAGTCTCCGTAACACAAGAGCCCAAATAACAGATGGGCATTGCCTCCTCAATGTGTCCAGATATCCTCGCTTCTGGATTTAGTACATTTATTATTATTTTTTTGAACCCAGATTTATACTGTTAGTGCTGTTGTTGCACCCCCAGCCAGCTTTCTTGCCCCAAGAATATATGACTTGATTATACAAAAATTGTCATAGGAAATGGGGCATTTATTAATGAGCAAGATGAATATTGTTTGCTTTTCTTGCAGTTATAAACTGGGTATGGCAACTCAGATGTTATCAGGGTTAAACAAGTGATTTTATAGGTAACTTCTTTTTCTTTTAGTAATTTTTTCCTCTTGTAGGTAAACTGGACCAGATAATTACTTATTTATTGACCTCTCTATATGATAGGCGAATGATGAGAGGAAACTAAGGTCTATAATAATCCTTACTCTAAGAATGCAGAGTTAAAATAACTATCTGCCTTTTTTTCCCAGAAGTACCTTTAACATTAACATGTCCACTTGCGTATTTAAGCAAGTGGACTGTAATTAAAAACACTTTTTTGTTTCTAGATGATATATCTTTAAAAAGCACACTTCCGAAGGGTGAGAGAAAAGCTAGGCTGCTCTCTGAGATTGTCTAGAAAGGTGGTCAGGTGTAATATTTTGTGTTTTAAATCACTAATTTAGAATTTTTGGAAACAATTTTCTAATTTATGGGAACCAAATAAACCTGTTGCATCTTATAGTATTTATAGCATACAGAAATGGAATATTTACTGAATTATGAGGGAACCGCAAATCCTCCTCCATTTCCATTAAGTCAATAAGAATTACCTTCTTGCTGAACCTTTTTGATAAGATTTGTATTTCACAATTTGTAGATACTTTTGAAAAAGGCTGCTTCTCCTGGACAAGTTACGATTCATGCTCTAGGCCTGGGTAAGTGCATTAGTATACAATAGTCTAGGACAGCTAAGGCAGCTGGATAGAATATGACATTCCTGGTTTCCGGTGTTTGAAGAATGTCTGTAAGAGAGTGGGTGTTTAAAAACAAGTCCACAGGTAAAAAGCTGCTTTGCAGTTATTTCAGGCAGACCTGCTGTGGTGATGGCAACCAGTAATTACATAAAATCTGTTACTGAACCTAGAAGGAAAGTTAGACTTGTAAAGGAAGAATGTCTTATTAACTGAAGGGCCAGTTTATATCACCTTTTTCTTCCATGACATTTTTTTTCTTTTGTTTTTCTTTTGTTACACTTTTTTTTAATAATAACAAAGTTATGAATGGTAGTTATCTAATATGCAAATTGTAAATGTAAAGATTTCTCTATATTCTTTAGTAAAGTCACACCCAGAAAAGTCATTTTAACATTTAACGTATGCAGTTTAGTTAACTTTCTGTGTCAAAGCAAAGGTTGACCTCTTTTTTCCTTTGCAGCAGCCTAACTTCTTCAAACTAATGTGATGGAGGATCACCAACATAACGACTTGTCTACCTTAATCAAATCAGAAAATATTTCAATAGTGTCAATAACAAAGACTTTAAGCCAGAATGTTGTTTAAAAACATTCTGTTACTAAGATTTTTTCCAAATTTGTGTATTTACATTTATTTATTGCCCTTGAAAAATAAATATGTCGAGCTAAGTGTTTGTTATCTTATTATTTTTCACTGACAGTATTGCCAATTTAAATTATTATTTTTTAAACTTTAACTTGAGCAGACATTGTGGCTATTCAGAGTATCTTTTTGCCTGAGATACTTGCTCATATTAGAACAATTCATGTAGCATTTCCACTTTCAGAGAGATGTGTCTGAAATCTAATATACTGTAGTGCTGGTAATGTTATTTGGTCACAATGGAAGAAAAGTTAAATGTCAGTGCTCATCACAAAGTCTGGACTTCCCAGTAATTCAATTTCCTTTCAATAACAGGGTAAGGTTTTCAGGTTATTTGAGATGACAGGCATGCTATTCAAACAGTTTTCTGTTTATATCCTTTTTTTCTTTACAGGTCTCGGAGCTTTGGGGAAAAAAAAAAAAGATAAAGAATTCCTAAAATTTAGGGCATTGTTCTGCATGGGTTGAGCTTGATAGTGGCAAAAGTTATAAGCAGGTGAGCTTTTTAATATCCAATATGAAGTATGTCTGGAAGATTAATTAACGCCCCACTGTGACTAACCATTTCAAAAGTAACTGTCACAGTCGGTATATAAAATATCTGAAACTGAAAAAATAACAATATGTAAAATATCAAAAATATCAAAATATACGATATCAAAAAACTGAATAGAACTGCTTTTATCTGTAATAGTGAGCTTGGAAAACAATGTCAAAGTAATCAGGGAGCACTAGTAAGATGATGCGTACTTCTGGCTCTATTTACTTCATTTACAGTCTTTTTTCAAATCTTTTTTTGGCAAAAGGTACAGATTTATATTTTAAATCTGTTTATACAATTTAGCATGCACATACTACAAATACCTACATAGCATATATGAAAGTGTCAGAAAAGTAGAGTAGAACTTTGTTTTCCACTAGATAAAAGCTAGCACAAAAGACAGAATCATAGAATTTTTTGTTGTTGCATTACAGTCGTGAAATAAAGCTACAAGCACTGCCATAGTGTTAAAATGTCTTTATAAAAGGCACTTTGTAAATGCTCAAATCTACCACTGAAGTTCTATTTATGTGTAATCTGAAGCCCAACAAAGCAGATCCAAATAAGGCTGTAACATGAGAAGAAATTAGCATTCCTGAAAATTCACTTAAAACACAATGCAAAAAAAATCTGTAGCAAGCCATCTACTTAATAGAATAAAGTATATGTTCAGATTGTCTTTACAGAGCTCTTCTTGTGGATCACAGACACACGAGTTGAAAGTGAACCATATACTCTTCTGTATACACTTGCATTGAATTGCCAGTCAGTCTATGCACTTGCTTGATACTTCACGTTATTGTCAAATGTTTCTTCAGACTTGTACACACAAGTTCGTGACATTTTTTTCCAGTATGTAATAAAAGGCAATTCGATGTCATGAAATTGGATCTCCTGGTGTATTCAGCAGGAAATACTAAAGTAAAATGTGAAGCTGATATACTTTTAACTGTTCTTCTTTCCTGCTACAATAGATCTATAACCTGTAACCCAAAGCTAACTTATTGCTTATGCTTAGATCAGCTTTTTTTTTTTTTTTTTTTTTTTACTATTAGGATGCTTATCACAATTGATTACTAAAGTTTACACAAAGTAGATCTTCAAATACAACATAATGAATTAAGAACTGTATTCATTTTACAACCTTAAGAAGTCTACTTTTATGCAATCTTAAAGAGCAGATAAGTCAGAAAATGCAAGTTAATTGGTGTTCTTGTTAGAAAGCATATAAGGAAACAGCAAAAATAAAAAGCCTTAGTTTGGTTGCACTATAATGCTCTTATTTCTCCATCTGTGCTGTGAGAGTAAGACCTTGGTACCAGGAAAAAAATCTGACATTGAAAAATGTTCATATAGTCGAATGACAATAAATATCAATGCAGCAACTTAAACATAGGCATTTTATTTTGTGATTTGGTGCAGTTACTTAACAGTCTTTTAAGCATAACCAGCACTAGACTGGTAGCAGTGTTATTTTGAATGCGAAGTTTTGGTGAGATGAATGACGCTCATCCAAATTCATCTAAACAGAAATCTATTTGAAGTTAATTTCCATAGTGTTTCCACATACTCCTTCTGGTTAACAGCTTGTTCTTACAGTTGTCCAGTAGAAAAGCATTGTATTTAAGCTCAACTGTCCCTTCCTCTGAAGGGGAAGAAGTGTGGCAGAGAAATGTAGAGAAGAGGCTGGAATATAAAAGACCTCTATGCTGCCTACTTTTCTTGAGATTGTCTAGGGATTTGTCCTCAACTTTCATACAATCAGAATGGTTTGGGTTGGAAGGGACCTTAAAGATCATCCAATTCCAACCCTCTGCCACAGGAAGCGACATCTTCCACCAGCCTGGGCTGCCCAAAGCCCCATCCAGCCTGGCCCTGAGCACTGCCAGGGATGGGGCACCCACAGCTTCTCTGGGCAACCTGTGCCAGTGCCTCGCTGCCCTCATTTATTACACAGTAGCATAGTAAATATGCTTTATACAGCATTTATTATGGTGTAGCATAATAAATAGCTGTCGCCATAGCATGTAATGGCCAAACCTCACCTAAGTAAGGCCAGGCTTGATGCAGCTTTAGGCAGTCTGCTGTAGTGGTTGGCAACCCCACCCCGAGTGGGGGCATTGAAACTAGATGATCTTTGAGGCCCTTTTCAACCAAGGCCATTCTAATCTGATTCCAAGAAATGACCAGAATACATGTTTTATAATGGGTTGGCAGTGTCTGTCTCTGCGCACCTTCTTCACTCTCATAATGCTTCTAGGTTAAGACTAGCTGTTCGGACCCTCTTAAAAACTCCAAACGTTTTTATTAAATGTCAGTTGTCTGCTGTTTAATTTTGGTCATTATGTCAGCTTTGTCACTATGAGCTCTTTCTTTACTTGGAGAGTTACCTCTGGAGAACTTGCTGAAACATTAAAGTTCTTTACTGCCTTTAAAATTACTCTTCTGGTTTGTAGGATTATTTGTGCTTATAGAGAAAATTGATATGTTGAAATGAGCAATTCAGTGTGCTTTGAGGCTAGTTAATTGTCTTTAGAAGTCAAAATACCATGTTTGCCTGCTTGACACACAGAATTTTCAATGAAATGTCACAGTTGGGAAATCCATAGGAATATTTCAGATGAGCTTCAGTACTCAGACAGTACAAACTTAGTTTAAACAGTATAGTTTAAAAACAATTTGCTGTACTAATATGAAAATAAAGGACTCTGTTTCTCTAAATGTGTTGATGAAACATGAAATAAGGCACCAAGTGCTTTCATCACTAGTTAAGTCACACATTTAAGGAACCAGGTAGGGGTCTTGCTACAGTCTTGCTGGGGCCAAAAAGTGAGTGAAATATCATTGCCTGCTATAGTCAAACACTAAGCCAAATGCATATAAATCTTGGTAGTAGGTTGGGACATTAGATCTTTTGTTAAGTTTTTTATTTCTTTAATCAATCTTTTGAGAAGGTCCTTTAGTGTTAACATGATTTCAGTTTAGGTACCACCCAGTTTATGATACATACTGTGAAACTCATAAATTTGGGGAAGTGATTTACTGGTGTCTCATGAGACAGTGCCTTTAGCTCACACACACTCAGATTCTCCTTAGCAGAATCCAGAGCTCAGTACTAACAGTACTGAATCAATATGGGGAACATGACAATAGGGGCTTCACCATGTAATATGTCAATTCCAAGTATGTAACTGTCATAAGTCCATATTTATAATTTATTACCTGTACCAGCTATAATAGAGCTAGTATGATTGTTTCAGTCCATGCTATAGTTGCAATTCCCCCCCGTGAAAGAATTACAGAGAATTACATGACTGCTTTTCTAATAGGCTTTGAAACTACCTTGAAATGTTCTTTGTGATACTGGATTTTTCAGTCTTGGAATATTAAACAATGCATAGAAGTTTCTGAATAAGAAATTTAATGATTTAATGCATGTTTTTCTTCTTTTGTAGTATGTTTATAGGGAACATAGTATTTAAAAATATGTATTTGATTTTGTATAAGAATGCTGTAACTACCTATATATGCTGCAATCACCTAGAACGAACAAACTGCTACGTGAGTAACAAGCCTATGTATGCTCTAGAAATTTCACTGGAAGAATTTAATAAATGTTAGGAACAGATTTATTTCTAAATAATGTAATGCTAAATTCTCTTTTTAACTACGGTTTCTACTGTGCATTCCTACAGCTAATAGTTCGGGGCTATCTTACAGTAACTAGTGGTGGCTAAATTATGTGTTACTTCCTGAGTAATATTGCAATACTACTATCACTGGTCCTAATTCTTTTTAAATTAAATGTCTGTTCACTCCAACCTCATACTACAATACGCAAGCATGAGGAGGAAATTAAAACATGGCATTTCAGTATAGACTTATGCAAGCCAGTCATGTAACTTACTACATTTTTGAAAAATCTTAGACAAAATAAGGAATCTTTTTTTTTTTTTTCCCCAAGGAAAGCTACTGTTAGATTATCCTTGGCATTTTTTCAGCAAAAACAAGCTCAGTTTTGAATGTAACCGTGTCTTCAGATTTGATAGCTTTGTGCAAAGCATGCACGTTCAGCATTTTATGCCTATTTCCAAGGCAACTTTAATTTCTCTTCAGTATTTTGGTGCCAGGGCAACAACTGGTCTTGTAATTTTAAGGGTTTTATTATTGCAGGTTTACCAGAACCAGAAAGTGCTGTATAATTACTGTTTTTGTTTACAGTTGGGTTTTGGTGAAGTTCTTTAGATTGAAAGCTTTAAAACAGGTTGTATGTGAGGTGAATAATTAACACTATGCTTTTTTTGGCCCATTGCAGTCTTGTTAGACTTTACAATTGAGTTGTATTTACGGTAGGAAGAAAATTACTGCTTTGGAAACAATTCTTCTTTCACTTGTAAATAAATAATAAATAAATAGCTGATTGTATTAGACTATTGTAGATAGATACAGTGACCCAATGAACCTACCTGTGACATTTTAAATTACTTTTTCAGCAATTTGCATTTTTATCTCAAATAGTCCTAATTACATGTTCATATTTCATATAATAAGTTGACATCAGTATACTTGCATTTTTGGATTTCTTACATGCTTTCTCTTCGAGCTTGACCTTTAAGAATCCATTAAAAAAAGGGACCATAGGTAGCAAGTGTTTCTCCACCTATGGCTAACTCTTGAAATAGCCAGTGCTGTTACATTATGCTAAACTGTGACTAGTCAAATAATTACAGTATAGACATCCATTAAATAAGCAGGACTGTGCTTTTGTACAGTTTGTACTTGCAAAATGAAAGCACTTAATAGTTGTTCCCAGATTGCTATCAGATCATGTTTGACAAATATTCCCTTCTTGTAACTTTTTTTTTTCCTATACTGATATTTCTGCAGTGTATAGTCACTGTTTACAGGTTAATACTCAAGAAATTTGTTAGTGGTACTTACTACAAAAAGTATCTATCTTGTCATTTTCTATAACAATAACTTCTAAATCTGTTGCTACCTGCTCAGTACTAGATCTTACATTAAAAAAGTCACAATATTAATACATTATAAGAATGATTACAGCTACTTCATAAGGCAGTAAAAAATACTATCAGTGTTTCTACCCAGCCCTCCCCATTAAGAGATACATCTTTCCTGTTAGGTGACATGGTTTTGGTTCATCTTTTTTTACAACTTTCAATGAAAAGTTCTTATCAATCTCTTAGCAAGTGAACAGATAGATAGCTATGATAATTTGATAATCACCTTTAACATATGTAAGCTTGAAGTTAACTACATCTGAAACAAACTGATGAAATTCAGATGAGTCATACAGAAATTGCCCCTCACTCTCCAGCACTGACATACTTGTTACCATATTAACTGTCTCAATAGCATTACCAGGAAATTAAAAACTAGGAGTTATTTTAGAGAAGTTCAAAAAGACTTGCTTTTTGAAGCAGATACTAATGTGTTCAAGATGCTATGCTTAGACCCACCTGAATTGTGCAAGTGCTCAGCTGTGATAAATCAAAAGTTGAGTTGTAAGCCTGTTAATCACCTAAAGCTTATCTTGTATCTCCAAATCTAGTTTTAACAGGAAATATATATTAATTTTAATACCCCTTTTTGGTGTTTGTTTTTTTTTTTTTTTTTGGTACAAGAAAAGTTGCTAAATTCTAGTATCTTTAAAAAGAAGTCTGTGATTGTCAACCTCTATAGTTTAAGGTCTTCACCCTGCTGAAATTTATTTTGGTTAACAGTCCTCTGAAAGTCATTATCTGTTAATAAATTTGAGCAAAGTGAAATAAACATTTCATTTAGGCATCTTAACTCTTTCATAATAACACTGGTTGGATGAAATAAAACATACTGGAGAAGAAAAGGGTAGATTTCAGTTGATCTAAATACTCTATAAACTCAAAGTTTCTGGTAATTTCTTTTCAATTAGATTTATCCCCATTACTCCTGTTTCAGTACTTTCATTTATTTTTACTCAAGTGAAATATCTTGAAATATTTTCTTTTAATAAAGCAAAAAAATGCCAAGAAATATTGTTAATGCCTTTAACAGTTGAAATGCACATCTGGATCTATTTACTTCAGGTAAGATACATCTCTGCTTTTATTTCTGTGCCTGCCTATAGCTTTGTCTTCTAAGGCTATTAACTTTCATATTTCCCATGTGATCTATCAACCATCCTACAGCAAGTATTTTGTATGTTGTCACTTAAAGCATGGATTACTGTCAGGCTGCTTGTTTTTAAATGTACTCTAACCTGTTAATTTGTACTTTCTCTTATTAGAACCTGCTGCAAAAAATCGTAGGGGAAAAAAAATCAAGACGTTCAAATCACTAAGAGATAAATGAGAGAAGATGTATTAAATCATCAAGATAAGTTATTTATTAGAGAAGGGTGTCTTGGCACACTTGCTAATATGGCATATTTCTTTTGTTTAAATGTAAATATTTGCCACTTTTGAATATTCACATAGCATTATGTATAGAAAATACTGTTGTACCAGGTTTCTCTCTGCTCCCATCTTTCCTGAAAGGTTACTTACCAGGAAAAAAAAAAAACACAACACAATTTAACTCATTTTATTTCATTCCTCTGGAACATTCCAGATACTTAAGTTTCTCCATACAGCAGACTGTAACTGAGCGTGATCTGTAACTGAACTTGATGCTTCTCTAAAACAGTCTGGACCAATAAAAGCTTTCAGCCTTTATTCAAATACTTCTTTATAAACCCTTCTCAAGTTTTATTTGCAAACTATGTATTTCTGTCCAGCATCCAGTTTTGTAAATATACAATTCAGTGTAGTGGATTAATTGGCTTTTAACTTCTTAAACACCTAGGTTGTAATCATATGCTCATGCTGCTCAGGTAACAGAGGTGTCTTGTACCTAATATTGCTGATAGATTAAACCTTTCTTTACCAAGCCCAAAACCATTCAACATTAAATAAAAGAAAAAATCATCCTGCTTGACACCACACAAAAGAGCAATTATTGGTATACCGAAACAACATGGTGCATTTAGGACTCTTCAGCCACTATAATTCAGTTATAGTAATCCATATTAAAGTAAACTGTATCCAGGCCCTATTAAGGGTAACGTTCTACCACAGCTTTGCTATACAGAAAAAAGCAAAAGTCTATAAATATTTCTTTAGGCCTCCCCTGAGAGTTCAGCATTTTTTTTGGTACTAATCTTTCTGGTGCTATTGAAGGCACTTCTGTTTTCAATTTAATAATAGTTAAGGAGGCAACGAAGGTAGGAGCTTTTTACAGTCAGTTACACGATGTTCATGTAAAACCACTGTATTTTGTCTACATAGATGTTGGAAATCATACTATTCTTAAAGCCCTTTATAATCCACCAGAATAAGGTAATCACTAGTCAGTACCTCTAGGACTCACTCTACTGAAGTCACGGTAATGGTAAGATGATACCATACATTTGTATGAAATACAAACATCCTATTTTCTCTTAGCGGTTAATTTTGTTAAATCGTGCTACTGAATGCACTTATGAAAACTAAAGTTCTTCATGAAAGTTCATCTATTGTAGGAGAAGTATATTTAAGAGTATTTGCAAACTATGGTTTGGGTTGAAAAGTGTTGCTGAAATAAGCAGGTACTTTTTTGAGGTAGACTACAGCCTACTTATTGTTAGAAGAAATTTGAGCAGCTGAACATTTTAGTTGTACTTTGAAGCAAACATTTTAGTTGGTAGACCTGTAATTGTCATCTGCTATGCTCTTTAGCTATGGTCTCTAGTAGAACTAGTACCAGGTAGTAGAGGAGGTCCTACTGTATGATTAGTTACTCCTTTATTATATATACATTCCTATATAAGTATGTTGGGGTCGATCTCTATTTAAAAATAGGCATGCTTTAAGGATAAGTAAAACATCCTTTGCAAAAGATTTTTGCCAATTAGAAACCAAATTGTTATGATATAGTACAGCTGCAGCTTGACAGTGTCTTTGTTACAACAGAATGGTTTGGGAACTTTAAACGCTCATGCTATTCAGAAGGGTCTGTCAATACTTTTTTTGATTTGCTATACTAACATGTCAGTTTAATATTCTCTTCCTTCCCAAAAGACTGTTTCAGAGACTTACTAGAAGCTATACAGAATATGAAGGTTTATTTCAAAAGAATACATTTGCAAGAATACACATAAATGCACTCAATGTAACAGTACCTTCTGCAAAAATAGGTTACATAATACCCGGTAATGAAAGAACGATCTTATTTCTCTACAAATTAGAAAGCAGAGAGAATAGCCTGGATAACCTTCAAAATGGAGGTTATAATTGTGTATGATGGTGTGATAAGTAGCTAACTTTAAAGCATGACACCACAGAGCTAATGTTGGTAAATCAAAACTACTAGCACACAGCTGCAAACTATTGTTTTTGTACAGGATTAACAAATATTTTGGTTCCAATTTGTTTTTATACAGCTCTAGTGCCTCAAGGAAAATGCTTATCAAAGATACACAAAAACTATCCAAAATTACAACGTAACTATTAAAATGCCTCCAAAATTGAGAGGAAAGTAATCATGTTAAATTAAAAAAATTTAACCAGGACTTCCAGACAAGATTTCCTGTTTTTAATCAAAGAAAGTTTACAAGAGATTTCAATAAGTTATCTTGAAACCAAGCAGCTGTAGATCTTAGAATCTTCGTGGAGGTCCACCTTTAAACGGCTTAAATCCTGAGCCACTTCCCCTCTGCATGGAATTCCCTGTGATCTGTACAACTCTATTAATTGGTGAAGAGTTACTGGAAACAAAAGGTTTTAAAAAAAAGAGTTATCAAAAGTATCTATACTCTGGGCATACAGGTAAAAACATTTATCATATTACATAACTGTTAAACTCAAGTCTCTTTTGAGACTTGAAGCCACCCAAGGAAAGGCTTTAACAGCACTACCACTAGCAATACAGGAACTGTGGAACCAGAGGCTGGCATGGAAAGACTGATTATATGGTATAATGTACAGCAGCAAGCTATCCACTGAAAGTAATGCTGATTGTACTGAGACTATTATACTTCCTAAACATAACAAGAGCTTTGAGGGACTGGAGGGGAGTGAGAGGAAGGAATTTTTTCTGTACCTTGTGTGTGGAGACATCATGCCACCTCCTCCACGGCCATCTCCCATTCTCCTTGTGTCATGATACCCACTTCCTTGAGAACTAGGTCCATGCCATTCTTTCCTTGGTCCAGTTTCACGACTATGGCGTTCAACAACATGTCTGTCCTCATTATAGTGCTAGCAAGAAAATGAATAATTATATAATGTATATAATATATAATTATATATGAATATATAATTATTATTATATAATGAATAAATAAGGCGTTTTTCATTATCAAACACAAAGTGAGCTTTTCTATAAAAGGTCTTCATTAACCCTATTCAAAAATCAAGTAGTTTTTAAAGACTTTAGTCTGTAAGCAGCTATGCAATCTTAGAAAAGTCTTGTTAAAATAACTCTAGATAAAATGGAACTATTTTGCAGTAATGAGTGTATGGGTATCCAGGGAGTGAAGTTCTACAAGCTCATACATTACTGCTAGTTCTGCGCTTATCTCTCAATCACTGACAAGCACGTTCCATATATATATATTATATTTTATATATATAAACACACAGAAAGAGGAAAGAATTAAATGCTTCAGGAGCATGGAGCATTTAGTCTGCAGGCTTTAAAAACAAGTGATGCAGAATGTTTTTTCAGTGAGTAGCATGCTATAGCTTAGTGACCAACTGCACTAGAAGTACGAAGATGCTTGACATAAGTACTGTGTTTTCTGCAGATTTATTGGCTTATTAAAGAAAGCAAAACACACGCACCCTTTAAAATAAAAGTAACTTGAAATTAGTCAGAACACTTGTTATGATTTATGTGATGCTATGTAGAATCATAGAATATGGTCTGCTTATTTTTCCAGTATTATTTTGTATTCTCCAACCACAAACAGAAAAACGTGACTTACTTGTCCTCCACCTCCTCTTTCTCCCATCACGCCTCGTTCTCCTTCCCTGCCTCCATACCCAGAAGCACTGCTACGGCTACCAGGAGGTGCACCTCTCACATGTCCAGACACTTCTCTTCCTGATCGGTCTGGCCTCTCACCTCTGTAAAAGTTGCTTTCATCAAAATTCTGGTTTCAGTATAGTAGAATTGGTACCAAATCATATTACATATAGAATTACATATAGACTTGTGGTTTTTAGTTTCCTAGCAATATGCAGTTAGCTTCTTAGAAACATTCTTTTAAATCGATATAGCTCTTTAAATAATTAAAGCTTGCTTCTATTAGTTCACATCAGCAGTCTTACATAGATAGCCTCCTTACTATATGTTGTCATGCATAATTAGGTATAAATTCCTGGGAGTCAGCAAGTTTATACACGAGGTTTAGCATACTTGACAGCTGACACACAGGTTTTTCCTAATCTTTCTGGAAGGTGACTTTGCCACTCTTTAGGGTGGGATCTGTTCTCTTTACACACCAGTTCCTGAGGAATTATTACTATGGATAGATTCTACAAGAATCAGTACTATCACTAATTTCTTGGTTAGCCAGCAAGCTTACCTGCCATCCCGTTTATCTGTGCTTATGCTTCCCTCACTCTTCCAATTTGTTTGCCTAGGTGGATTTGAACCAGTCTCTCTTGGATGTCGACCGTGTGGTATTTCAGGTCTGTCATGAATTATCACCGTTCTTCTTTCATCTCTGTCTCCTCGCACTTCCCGTCTGTCTGTATCTCGAAGTTCACTTCTTGGTTGTGGTGGTTCATTTCTTCTAGAGTCACTGAAGTTCTTAGGATATCTCTCAAACCCTGGCTCTTCTCTTCGGGCTGTTGGGCGAGTCTTTTTTGCTTCACCTTGATTTACAAAACGTTCTCGCCTAAGTTGTTAAAGTAGGAAAAAGTAATTTGATTGTTTCCCATTACTTGCATTTCTCCATACATCTAAGTACAAAGGTTAGAAAATATTCATAAGTATTAACAGTATTTTTGAATGTGAATCTGTGGTATATATCTCAAGGCCCTTCCCACACCAAATTATATTTATTTTTACAGTTGTCATTTTGAGCTTGAGCCTAACATTTTTAAATGGATTTATCTGCTCATAGTTTCGGCAAGAGTAATATTTCAACAAATGCAGGACCTCCCGTTTACCTTCCTAGTGTGAAGCATAGGGAATGCTAGATTTCTGTTTCTTAAGTCAGCTAGCAAATATGTTTCACGTTCACTGCAGCATAACAGTTGAAGTACAGAAGTCACAGTTATGTGGCCTTATATTAACTGGTTATTGGAAATATTTAATGGAAACATTTAATGGAAACATTAAGTTGTTTCTGAAGTCAGCATCTACTGCAGAGTTGCACAGACTCTAACCAGTGTGACTCATGCAAGTCGTCTTCTCATTAGGTCAGTTGCTTTTAGCCTTATTTATTATGATGAATTTACCAAGCACAACAGATCTAATCTATTGGAACCCACTTAAAACTAGATGCTGAAGGAGGAGTAATTGTGGAATTTCTTTTGAAGTGTCATGAAAAAAAGCCCATCAGTCAGCTAATTTGATGTCGCCACAGAAAAGCAGATATTTTATGCTATAAAGGGCAAGTCCCAAGATATTTTCAGGACACTACTGCAATTCTATTGCAATTCTATGTATTTATTGCATAAAGCTTTTAGCATGACTTCAAATTTTGAAGTAGTTAGAGGTGAACTCCAAAGAGATGTTGGCAGGTAAATACCTGCCCTATTACTTAAACTTACCTATCAAAAGAAGATGATGGAACAGAAGAACCTTCTGGATATCGTCCCCGTTCTCTGTGATCAAAATCATTAAACCTGTTCTGCTGGCGACTGTAGTCTGAACCATGACTAAAACGTGCATCTGTATCAAGAGCCATCTTCTTATTTTCATTCCAGTAAGGATCATCTCTCCTTTAAGAGAAGCAAATGAATCCTTATCAGTTACATATATCCAAATCATGGCCTAACAGAAAACCATTCAAGTTACCAGTTACTTGTCTGCTCTAAAGACAAGTATTTAACCCATGAAAAGCCTCTAACAGTCAGTCACTTTAAACAGTGAACAAAATCATTTAGGAACCACCTCCCCCCACTCTGGTCTGCAAATTAAAGAGCTGGTATCAATAAACAGTAATAAAAATCTATGCCACAGTATACTGTCTTGAGGAAACAAAACATTTTATGCCCCATCCATGCAAACTGAATCCATGCAAGATTTTGCCTTCAAAGCAGCCTTCTAGAGAAGCAAAAAGTTCAGAACGGTATTCTCAAGAAAGAACAGTATGGGAAGTGTCACAACCTTGTTAATTAGAAATACTCAGGTACAGTCTTTATGACAAGAATGCAAGATACTGAAATGTATACAAATGAAGCTGTCTTTACTCCCCTAATGAGAAAATATTAGTGTTCTGCTATTGTCTCTACCATGAGAACTTACACTTACATTCCACTGTACCTCTGTTATGTAAATTTTATGGCTAAGGCCTCAGCCATGTGACTCAAACATCAACTGACAGATGTCATCAGCTTCAGTAAAAATTAAAAGCCATCACATTGACTCTCTGAACCATTAATTTACCAGAGATGTGAATTCTTTATGAAGTGGAAGCTAGACATTTCAACCATTTAAAGAGAAATGAACAGCTTTTCTCAGCAAGTGCACACAATTACATTATGCTCTTTTGGTACAAGAATTTATTCACAGGCTGCTTCTTGTATTTCAAAACCCTCTGTTTCATACTTGGCATAGCCTAATGTAAAAATCATACTAGAAATTCAGTTCTTCTAGGAAGATTCATTTCAGGCACAAACACCTTTTCAGGTCTGCCATGAAGGCTGTAGCTGTTTGTTTTTACTAAGGGCTCTAAAACAATGGTTTGAGAATTAGATTACCTGTGATCTACATCACGTGGACGTTTCAAAGAATTCCTCTTTTCCTGTTCATAACGAAGTTGTTGCTGTTGTCGACGAAGTTCTTCCCTTTCACGAGCAATACGCTCTGCTTCTTTCCGACGTTCCTACCATAAAAGGGTGAAAAAACACAAACAACCTCTTACTAGAGAAACCTGTAAAACTGATAGCAAGCATACAGACCTAATACTTGATAGTTTTCTGCTAGAGACTGTCTGATATATATATCATCCTTGGAGAGCATTCCACATTAAAACTTCTTTAAGAGGAAGTGTTCTTCCTCTTTATATCTGGAAAAGCTATTGGCTATTAAGTATAAATATCTCCAGGTGCTTCCTTATGTTGCTAATGTGCTCACTGCCCAGAAATGCATTTCATTAAGTTCGCTCTGCCACTGTTCTCTAGAAAAAAAACAGTAAAGTTACTAAGACTAGCAATGATCTCATGAATTTCAGTATCAGTGTTTGTGACAGACATATACAGCTACTATAATCAGTAGCAAGAACTTGCCATCAATTTACAAGCTAAACAAGATAAAAGACTACTTTTGTTGTTTTACATTGTGAATTATTTGTTTTTACATTGGTTCTTTTAAGGCCTGGGTGGAAGGGTGAAGAGAGAAATTCATAGCAAGTGCAAACTGGGTTAGTCCATTATGACAGGCATATTTGTATTTTTTGACTGGAATGCAGTACCTGTTCAATACGAACACGCTCTCTTTCCAAACGCTCACGTTCCATCCTTTCCCTCTCTAGTTTTTGCCTTTCAATTTCTAATCGTTCTCTTTCCCTCTGCAAGCATTCTTCTCGTTCATGCATTATTCGTATACGTTCTCTCTCACGACGCTCCCTCTCCGCAATTTCTCTTCTCCTGAAAAAGAAAAAGCAAAGGAGGTAGCAGAAACTCATCTGGAAATAATTCTCATCCAAAACTAACATCACCTCGGGCAGACATAGACAAACTATTTGAGAGGAGACTATTAAGAGAAGCCCTGGTATTAAGAAGTCTACACTCCTTCTAGCCCCAAGTAGCCAAACTGTCCTTAGCATATTCTGCAGAGCCATTTAAGCAGACAACTGATACTAGAAAAGTTTATGTCAAGAATCATCATTCTGATTTTATTTTTTGTGCTGGATTCATACTGCTGTGTTTATTATCTGTTGTTATTATTATTATACTATGTTTATTATCCACCAGATAACAACAGCGTAGTAAAGAATATGATCTGGATCTTTAAAATACTTTGTTTTAGCTCTTGCCTGCTTCAAGCTAACAAAAGTTTACTTACTGCTTTCTGTACAAAAATAAAGACAAAATAACATTGTCAATATTCATTCATAATTCTGACTTACACAGGTTAGGTATATATGTGAACAACTTGATTTCGCTTTCTTCTTCCCACTTCCTGTAAAACAGCTTACAAGAAGCAGGAAAGGCATTTTCTCCCATAAAATTTATGCCTGCTGGGAATTCCTTTGTTTAGGGAAATCCAGTCAACAACAAGTCACTTTATCCTTTGCAAGATTTTGGCCAAATAAAGTGAGACAAATAGAAGAGACCAACTGTTTAGTCCTTTTACGTAGAAACAAGATGGTATTGTGCTTGATTTGTCATTTAGGCGTACAATAGTTCTCTAAAAATCATTATTTTTGGCCACATCTCCTATTCAACTTCTCATATTTTCAAAAAGCAAACTAGCATGCAGTAACACCCCCTCTAACAAACACTAAGCTATGCGTGTACACACATGTGACTATTAAAAGATTAAGCAAATTTTGGAGTCAGTTAATTTGTATGAAGATATTGTTAGGTAGAGTCCCAGACTTTAACATCTGAGTAAAAGGCTTGACAGAACACATTCTAATTAAATTTCTAAAAATAGTATCTGATCAATTAATGTGTAAAAAAGCCTTTAGCAAAAAGTTGAATTACTACCTTCGGAGTTCAACAGCTCGTCGTATTCTTTCCAATCGAACCATGTGTTCTCGCAATCTCTGTTCCTTCATCTTTTCAAAAGGCAAGATATCCTTTCTACCCCTGTATTCCCTGAATTTCACTTTATCTTGAATAATACGCTCTTTGTTCCTCAATATCTGTGGCTATAGATAGAGATTACAATGGTTATTTCAGAAGTCTCATTCCTTAGGGAGATTTCTGGATGCTATGTTCAAATATCATTAACTACTTATCTATCCCAAAGCATAGAGAGCTTCTATCTCTGCTTAGCAGTTTGCGATAGTTTATTGACCCATCACAGTAAAGACATCAACAGTATAGTAGCATCAATTCAAATAAGGATTCTATCAAATCTATAGATACTTACTTTTTCAAATCTTCCCCGTCTAACTGTCCTAGTGTGGCCTTGGTCTCCTTTTGTTTGGTCTAGAACTACAACTTGACCTGGGCTTTTACCACCTAGTGAAGGGGGAAGAAAAAAAGGAGGAGGGGTTTAAAACAAACATCTCCATTTGCCTACTACAGATTTTCTTGGGCAAAATTTATAAATCTCTAAACCAAACTGTTACTGGTAGAAGCATACCAGCACGTCTGTACTTAAGTAGTAATATAAAATATGGAAGCTTTCACATCAGATATAGTAGATGTTACTAGAGTCTAAAAAAGCAGGCGTTTAATTGCTTTGCTTCCACATTAAGAGCAGGAACATGCCCACAGAATAAGTCAGACACACAGATTCAATAGGAAGAAACATGGCTATATTGCATACTTATTCTTTTCTTTTCTTCAGTTTTTTTAGTGGATTCTTGATTAGGGCCACTTGCTCCATTATCATTCTTCTCATCTTTACCTTCTGTTTTCTTGGCTTCTTTACTTTCTTTTTTTTCAGATTTCTCAGATTTCTTTTCTTCTTTTTTGGTTGATGGAGTTCTTGTTAGGAGAGATACAGAAGCACAATGAGGAAGATTCAACTTAAAGGATTTTTACAACTTCAAAAGACACATAAGAAGTTCTTACTTGCTGGCTTTATCACTTGATGTCGTTTTCTTATCTCCCGTGCTTCTACCTGAACTAGATTTCTCATCACTTTCCTTCTTCAGCTCCTTTTTGGAGGGATCACCTTTCACCTATATTTTGTCCAAAAGCAAAAAAGTTAGTACGGATTCTTGCATAAGATGGTCTATTCTAGGAAGTTTGCATCTTAGTAAACATACTTTCTCAACAGAAATTTGTTGTCCATGCAGCTCTGTTCGATGAAGGTGTGCAATACATCTAGCTACTTCTGTACTTGAAGACATGGTTACTATGCCATAACATTTTGCCCCTGGGCTTCGTGCATTTGTGACCACCTTTGCACCAAGTACCTGCGTAAAGAGGTGAAATTTAGGTTTTTAGACATAAGGAAGAGATGATAGACCAATAATATTTTTTACCCTAGCTTTTATATAAAATAAAAACCGACACTCTGCTAGGAGTGATTCTACAAATTTTTAAAAGCATAGTTCAGCTTTTTGAAAATTTTCAAATCATGGCAAATTAATGCTAACATCATGTTTTGACCAATAAGAGCCTCACGCACATTACCCAAACTCTTCTTTTGATAATTACCATCAAAAGTTATTCACAAAAACACCACTGATGTGTGACTCAAAAAAGTCAGCAGCTGCCAATTAATCACAGGAAGATATAAGCATTATTATGCGGTAATTTAATAAGGCAGAAAATTCTTCAGAGGCAACTAGCAGATGTGTCAATTAAGCAGTTTCAGCAACCAGCTCTTTGACACCTGCATCTTGACAAAGCATTAAGCTTTGTGTTGCTGCTCCCTGTTAGAATTTCTTTACCTTCTGGAGCTAATCTTTTTGATCTAGTCTTGCTCTAATGCAACAATTTAATCTTTCTAGAAGCCTGCAATGGTATAGTCGTTTAGACATTAAATATTTACCAATTTATTTAAATAAGAAATGTAAGTAAATACAGGTGCTGCCAAGCATCTCTACAGCAAAAGCAGACAAAGAATTAGAAGTTTGAACAAAATATACTCTCAGGTTTCAATACCTTTGAAGGTGCTAAATAAAAACACCTCCTTAATTTATTAGGATAAATCAGATTTCCAATAATCAGTACACATACTTATTAGCCACAGTGTGAAGTTCCGAACTAGTCCCAAAGATAAAACAACATAACTGCACAAGTTCACACAGATGCTATGAATTCACACAGTTGACATTAACTCCTTTGAGCAAGGAGAAAACAACTGTTTTCAGAAGAATGCTGAGCTTATATGGATATTTTTTTTTTTAGTGTTCTATGCAATTCCCACGTTAAACCAAACCAAAATCCAGGAAAAGTAAGTTGGTTTAAGCAACATGTAAGAAAGCTCATAAAAATATTAAGACTCTTTGAAAGAACAGACATTAAAAGCTACTATATTTTTAACTTTTTTTTTCTATCATTCAGAAGCCCTCAGAATGCTTTTTTTTTTAAAAAAAAAAAAAAAAAAGGTTTCCCAGTGCAGCAGATGCTATAAAGACTGCTTATTTTGCAATTTAGCTACTGGCACATTATCTTACACTAAGTCCTGACCAGTCATATTAGTGACATTTGTTTTCTGTCTTACCTCAAAATGAAGACAATTTTCAAAGTTAACTTATGGTTCTTCCTGTAAGCACAAACTCTTATTTTAGGTGCTGAAGGTATTGTCTTTTTTTTGTTTGTTTTTTTGATTACACTGGTTAGACATTTCAACTCACTTGTGTTTAAATGAATAAATATTTAGTTTCTGTATCTGAATAGAGGAGGGGGTGGGGGAGGAGACACACACAACACACAATATCACACCACATGGAATACCTTTCCATATTTGCCAAAGAGATTTTTCAAGTCAGCAGCTTTTGTGTTGGAAGAGAGTCCGCTAACCCACAGGTTTCTAGTTGAACTTCCACTGCTACCACTAACACTGCTTGCACTTCCTGAAACAAGTTTTGCAAAACAGCCAAAAAATTAAGGAAACAAAAGGTATTATCAATATTGAACTAAACTGTTGCTGAAAAGAGAAACTTAGCCTGTTACCTTTAAGTAACTGTTTATCCGGTTACCTTTCTTGAAAAGACTTCTATGTAAAAAAAATATATGCCATAAGATTTAATTCATTCACCCATGTATTGAGACCGACAGCTTGGCTAACTCATACCCAGAAGACAAAGCTAGAAAATCATACAATTCTCTGCTTAAAACATGCTTTACACCACATTTAGATATGTAAATTTAGCTTCAACTTTTTGATTCTTATTAAGTAACTTCTATCTAAAAAGGAAAAGATTTTTTTAGCGCCCAACATTAATTCTTCATCAGTATGTCTTTACACTAGTAACGTTAAAGAGACAACTGAAAGGTAAACAGAGGAGACAGTTAATCCTCATTATAGCTTATTTTTCTAGCACCAGAATGCGCCCAATTTCCACAACTTCAGGAAGCATCTGCCCTCCATCCAGAGCAGCTTTTTAGAAGTACTGCTGGATGTAGCCCACCAAATGTGATTTCACATATACTAGGATAACACTGAGAAGCAGGAAAAACATTAAATCTTTACATTAATATTTAAAAAACAACCATACAAGCCAAAAGTACAAAACACCAAACGACACAAAAAACAACACCACTTACACATATTAGCCATATCTGTAGCAACACGGAACTAAGAACTCAAGAAAGTCATGTATAGGTGTTCTCAACATCTATTGTATTATTTTGCTCAGTTCCTTGTTGTTTGCTGTTAAATATTTGAACTGCTTCTGATTAAGTTAAATTATAGCTTGTTATACAGGAAAGACCAGAACTGGAGCTCCAGTTAAGCAGTTGGAAAAATCTGGTAGTATGTTATTTTTGAAAATAATTAAGTTACTTTTTAAAAACTGCCATCTTGTTAGCAGGTGGTTCTCCTTCAATGCATCAGTTAATTAAAGCAAAAGGCAACAAACCCATTATTATCTTCATCTAGGATTATCCCAATAGTTATTTTGATAATCCTAATTATCTTGATAAACTGCAATATGCTTAGAATATCCTTAAATAGCCACTATACTGGCTTTGCATATGTATTTTAAGAGAGCCTTATGATAATTACTACTATAGTTAATGTATTTGCCACCGATAACATGGAAACAGATTTGCTGTATCTTTATTTAACTTCAAGTATATAACTATCAATGAACAGACAGGCATCTACAGAAGACAGTTATGTCTGTCACACAAAATTTCCCCTCAAAAATTCATTTATCAGGTAGAGTTCTATTCATCCATTGTGAAATGCTAGAGATTGTGACGAAGATTTTTGGCAGAGAGCTAATAGGCAGAATAAGGAGACACAAAGAACACATTTGTTCAGCTCTGAGGCATCAGTATACCTGTTGACATTAACACACACTGGAGCTCCACTCTATATTTTTAGATCGTAATACCAAGTTTTATGGTAACAGAAGGAAACTCCAATGCATACAAATAGCTTCCAACTTCAACATACTAAATAGCCACAAGTGCTGTTTTGTTAGCTAGCATGCTAGCTGTTATATTGTAGTTGACAGTTCATTTTATTTAGAAGTGAGCTAGAATTAGTCTATGTAAGCAATTTTGTTGGTGTTATGTTTAAGTGTTTTTTGCATTTTTTCTGTGTATATATATACAACCATTTGTGTTGAGTAGGCATATTTGAAAATTATACCAAATTCTCACAAAACAAACACCTGGGAGATGTTAAGTAGAATTTGCTTACAGTAATGTTTTGAAATAGAAGAATATATTTTCCATAGAGTCCTTAGAATAAATATTTTATAAGGAGTCCAATGTAAGGGGAAATACACACAAACACACAGAGCTAATGACTACTGCACCTCCAGCATAATTTACTACAGATAAATGAGTTCAATTAAATAAGCCATTTTAGTGCATGGCAAGAAAGTTCTCAAAGAGGAAGGCATTTACTCCAAGGCAATACTACCCTAGCTTGCAATAGTTACCTTTATCATCCTTTGATGTTGTCTTGCTTTCTTTAGATTCCTTAGTGGAGCTAGAGAAGCAAATTAAAAATCAGAAGAAAATTGAAAACACAGTATAAAATGCAATACTTACAAATTCTACTAATACTAATAGACAAGTTAACATTTCAAAAAATAAAAATAAAAAGGGCTAGGCTGTATATTTGAACAAAGGATTCCCTTATGGATTCTTGCACTGATTTTCCCCAGGATGCCTGAAGATCTAGATTTTCTGACAACTCTATTCAGTGGATATATGGCAATCTTCTCCAGATTTCAGGACGGGGACTTGACTTCATTTTGTGTTCTTAGAACTGATAGCTGTTCATTACCATCATCACAAGGACATTTAAAAAACTCGTCAATTTGAAAAAAATAAATAAATGCTGACAATTCGACAATGCAATCACAGTAGGACATAGTGTCTATACGAAGATCTTGAATTTTAAAAAGTAACTTATGGCGGTCAAAAAAATCTATAGGCAGGAGCATAGGATACTAATTATAAGATTCTTGCTGCTACCCCCTTAATGTAGAGTGATCTTATTGAATGCTGGTACTCAGTATCGTAAAGAACTGACATAGAAAAACAAACCTCTTTGCTTGACCAGAGGCCCCAGTAGACGAGGGACCTTTCTTCAAAGTATCCTTTTCTTTGTCTCCAGATTCTGCTTTCTTTGAACTTTCTCTGGCTTCCTTCTTGACAGGATCACCCTTCACGCAGTCTTCCTTCTTACCATCTTTATGGTTCTCAGTCGTCTCATAGTCCTTGCTTTCCTTCTCCAGGCTCTGTGAAATGGTATCCTGCCCGTCCTTTGGCTTACTTGCTTCAGAATCTGTAATTTTCACATTTTTACCTGTTTCTAGGAGGTCATCACCATCAAAATCCAGAGTGATGGCATCTTCAGCCTGGATTGTAACCGATATGTTATCATCCTCAGCTTCTTTCACAGAGGTGTTAGCTTCCATCTCTTCGTGAGCCGTGTGATCAGCCTCAGCTAGGCTTTCTTCTGAAGGAAGAGGTTTAGATACTTCTTGTGTACCATCACCAGAACCTGCTTTATCTAAGAGGATTTAACAGGAATAAATATGGCAAAACAAGAAGTTTAAACAATTTCATATTCATAAGCTAGAATAGGACCTAGAAAATACAAAGCCAGTTATTAGCACTGATGGAAGGTTAGGAAAAAACACAAGGTGTATTAACACAAATATAAATCCTTTACCCAGGATCACTTATTCTTCATGGCAAAACACATTTTCTAGAGACAAATACCAAAACATTAGGAGTCAGAATATGGTTCCATCCTGGAGATACCCGTTCTTCATAAGAAGTATCCATTTTCCAGTTTAGGATTTAGCATGTCGTAAGAAAATAGTTGCTTTGGATGCTCACAGTTTGGATTAATCCATCTTTGAATCTTCCTGGTTGTACGACTTCCAGACTTCCCAAATCCAAAAGAGTTACAGTCTTGGAGAATTTCAGTCAGTCTTCCATACTGGTTTTCTTAGGCTTTTCCTTTCCAAGAGTGGTTTGGCAGTCAAGTTAGCCGTACGAGGTTGCTGCAGAAAACTGAGGATCGTCCTTTAATCCAGAGTTCGTAGACGAATGGTTCTCAGTCTTCATCCACTGGACGGATTTTCCATCTCAGTCCCACACCGGCATCTCCAACAATTCTTGGGTTTGCACTGAAGAGATACTTCAGTTGTAGGTCCCTCGTAAACAAGGAGTCTGTAGTTTTATTCTGTAACTTCAGTGTTTATTCCATCTTGCGTAAAGTGATGGTGTTCCATGTCCTTTCTAGTCCACAATATGTAGAATCCTTAAGACTTCTGTCCAGAAAGTCTGTTTGCCCAAGTGCGTCATATTCCTTCTATAGTTTCACTAATGAGCACAGCTTAAAAAAAAGTAGCCACTCCACAGATTTCCAAATACTTGTTTTACCATTCTATATACAACCGGTATTTCCCAGTGACAGTTAACTCAAGCATATGACGGTCCATACATATGTTGGGTGCTCAAGTTCAGCGTAAGAGCGTATCATTTCCACTTAAGTAAACATCAGTTACTGCAGTGCAAGTTGGAAGCATTTGCATCAAGACTTACCGTATATTAAAATCAGAGTCCTTGAATACTATGTTTTTTTGATTCAGTTAAGATTCATAGTATTACAACTATTTTATACATCCACCACAGTAACTGATAAGTACTGTAATCGGCTCTTAAAAGTAAAGTAACTCTTAAGAGCGAAATAAACCCAATGACTGCAATAATTCCAGGTGCTGAACTTAATAAGGAGACAACTGATACTTAGTACTTGAGAGAAGACTACTATTAGCAAAGAGACTGAAAGTTACAAGAGAAAATTGCTTGGTCTATCAGGCTAAAGACCTCTTAAACTCTATTAAACTTCAAACATACCTTTCTCATTTTCTTCATCTTCACCATCCTGCAAGAAAAGGAAGTCAAGACTAAATGTCCTCTATTTTAGAACTTAAAGTAGAACAGTTCATATTTTCCATAGAACTTCTATCATACAAAGGTAAATTAACGAATCATAAAAACATTTCCAAAGAAAAGATAATTAAACCAACCTTTTCAAATCACTGAAAGTTTAGTATAAACTTCACTGGTATTTATCTATACTACTTGCAATATGTAGCTGTTTTCTCCCTCTGGACACCACCTTCCCTTAACAAGATGTTTCCGAACTGTCCCTTATCCTGCTAAAACCTCCCGAACAGATGTTACACTGAGTACTACTTACAACAAAATGCAAGCAATCCATCATCAGCTTTGAAAAAAGAAACTACCTGGTTTCAGAAAAGTCTGAAACTAGATAGACTTCCTTCATTAACTGTTTCTAAATGAAAGAGCAATTTTAACATGTATTTATTTATCATTAACACCTCTAATCTATCCCTTTTCAGATGTCAGTTCTATGCAACTCAGAATGAATTTCTGATCTTGAAGATGTTACGGATGTTAGTTTAACAAAAATATTCTCCAAAGGCAAAGTTAGAAAGTTAAAACAGAAGTAGTAGAAGTACATGTGTATCTAGAAGGCTGTATATACTCTGTTGTATACTTTGTTAAAAATACTTCAAAGGGCCATGACAAATGTTAAGAGTTTAAAAAAAATACCTTGCTAAGTCTATGCACCAAACATTCCCAAATTATAGACAGGAGTTTGCATTCATACACTTTTTTCTTATTTAATTAAAAAAAGTGTTCTATAATGTAATACAATAAAGGTAAACAGCATCTGACCCTCTAAGATGCAAACTGGAACAGAAAGCAAGTGTAAAATGATCTTTTCCAAATTAACTGATATGAAAATCAGTTTATACAAATGATTTGGAACTTACATGGACACTTGCAAAAGTGTAATCTTCAATGTCTTGACCTTCATTTTCCTATGAAAACATAAAAAGGACTTGCTAAGCAAGCTATTTGTAACATACTTTAAATCCATTCAGAGTCAAGAAATTCAATTAATTCAGAAAACATTTTACACTCAAAGTGAACATCAATGAGTGCTTTTCCTAACTTGCATCTTAGAGTTCAGTGTTCAGATTATGTACGTCATTACTAGTAAAAAGGGAAAAGAACCTCTTGGGAACCCAGTCGTGGACTGTGGTACAGTTTTATCAACTAATACCACATTTATGTCAGGACTATTCGGATACAGGCCAAGAAAAACAGAAAAAAAAAAAGTAGCTCATCTTTTGGAGATAAGCAAGCAAGACAAAGCAGAAAAACTAGTTCTTAACTTCCCATTAGCACAGATAAGAAAATATGCATTTTGCTGATAAAGAAGCACATTAAAATACAAGAGTACCTGACTTTCAGAATCCTTTTCTACATCTTCTGTTGTCTCTGCTGGCTCCAAGTTGTGGTATCTTTTCTTTTCTGCTGATGGGAGTTCTTTAGAATTCAAGTTCTCATCTTCAACAGATTCTTTAAAGTCCTTTAATTCATCATTTCCATCTTGATCACTTGCATCTTGAGTCTCCAATTCACTTTCCTTTTGATGTGAACAACAAATGTTTGGCATGATTATCAGCTATATTCTGAAAAAAAATCACTGCCAAAATTGCTGTTTTTGCAAAATACTGTATCGCAGCCATAATAAGAATTAAGTATACTTCAAAAAAATCCCACACCTTCACACAATGCAGCATGACAGCTCTTAACACAGTAAAAAAACAATGATTCAGATTTCCATGTAAATTAGCCCAGAGAAAACGGAGTTTTTAGTTTGTTTGTTTTTGAAATAAAGCAAAACACTGAACTTAAATAGCAACTGGAATATATTTTTTTTTTTTTAAATACATATTTTTATTACCTTGACAAAGGAATCCTCTTCAACTGAAGCATCACCAGTTGATTCATCAGCTTCCTGCTTTTTACCTGAAATGACAGGATATGCTAACGATGAAGGCTGCTAAGCAGAGCAGGCTTTCTTCCAATACTGATTATGTGCTGGGCTACAGTTTATTATTCTCTACATCCTCTAGAATATCTGAACTGGTCACTATTATATAACCCTCCCAAAGTCTAGTGTTTTTGAGGCGGGGAGAAAAAAGTCACACGAGCTAATATGAACAATCAATGCTGTTTCATAAACAAGCAGTCACATCCAAGTTAGTGATTTTGATATCAACTCTTCTACTTTCAGAGATGATGAAATTGAGAGAACGTTAGTGTGTATTTCTAGAATTACTGGAACTAAACTATACTTTATAACTAACATTTTGGAAAGGCCACTCTTTAGAGGATAATTAGCAGCACAAAACAATTTAGGTTAGAAGGGACCTCAGAAGGTCTGCTGAACCTCTGGCTCCAAAGAATGCAAACTTCCAAATTATGATCAGATTGCTCAGGGTTTTATCTAGCTATGTTTTTGAGTATCTACAAGCATGTGAAGTCCACAGCTTCTACAAGCCTCCATTTTCAGTGCTTTTCATCACTAGAGGGAACTAGCAGCAGAACTGAGTCAGGTCAAGCACTGGCTTTTCTACATATTCTTTAGTGTACAGAGGGCATGTTCCATCAAAGAATTCTGTTCTTCCAGTACACACATGCTTTTTTCCTAATTAATATGGCTAAGTGGAGATGACAACTAGACAGAGTTCCCTTTGGAACCCATTGTATTTCCTTAACCCTCTGCAAAAAGGAGGCCAGAGGACTAGATATAATATGTCCAAACAAGCTCTTTTTAGAGCATTCTGTTTCATTTTATCAAAGATCAGCCTACGTGACAATTTTCAGTAGCTCAAGGTGAAAAAGCAGTTCAGCTGGGAAGGAGCTTTACTATCTTCTGTTGAAACTCAGTATCAATTCAAGACATAAATGAGATGGCAATCAGGATCAGCACTTAACGCATTAGTTTTTGACCTCATCTCTCTGCTCATCACTTCATCTTCAAACAAATGCTAAATTATCAGTTTTATACTCTGAAGGAATAGAAAAGGAAAACCCAAGCCGAAGTCTGATGTAGTATGCACATTTCTGTGACTTGGAATAGTCTTTTTTTGTCAACAATTAATTTTTCTTAGTCTTTCGCACACAGCTCAAATTACATTTCAAAGTTAGAAACTGCAATACTACAGGATGAAAAAAGATGTTTTCTTTCTACTTAGACTCCAATTGTTTTTCCTTTTTTCCACTGAAAGGCAACACTGACAGCACTCCTGTATACACCATTTTGCATTACAAGGTCAGAAATGTACTAGTCTCCAGGAAAAGATACACTGCAGAAGTCTTTGACTGCAAAACATGAAAAAGTTCAGATCTAAATGCATGGGAGAATCAACAACACATTCCCATTTTATATGTGGAATGCAATAGGTTTGTGAGATTTTGGAGTAAAAAACCAGCAGCAGATGTATACTTTGGGAAGCTTGGCTTCCCTCAAAAAGAGTTGTGGACTTATACCAGAAAGGACAGTTTTTGATATGCTTCACACACGATGTTTGAAAGACAGACTAACCCAAACTTTGTATTAATATTTCAGCATTCTGCCACAGAATCCATAACCACAGGTATCTTCAATGTAAGAAAGCAGTGAAACAGCATGGATTTTCTGTTTCAACCCTCTCATTTCAGTTCCTCGGTTTATTAAACTTCAAAGTCCAAGTTCTTCCCACATCTCATATCCAGAAAGGCATACACAGATAGGAAAATACACACAGCAGATACTGGACATTTAGCAGCTAGCTAGCATGTGCTATTTTGAAAACTACTTCAATTCACTTGTTTTGTCGGGGGAAATTTGGCAGATGAACTTCAGAGGGAATAGAAAAAACAATTGACACAGCTGCCTCAAGTAAGTCTATCCCTCTGCAATGACAGCTAGAGACCTGCATTTCAGTGACATGTCCCCATCAAAGGGAAGTTACACCTCTGCATAAAGAAGCCCTCTGTACCTTTTACCTTCTGCTAGAGTAAACGAGACAGGCATATGTATTTTAATTGGTCTGCCTTTGCAATAAAAGCCCAGTTTGCCCTGAGTATCAGAGGCATTAAAAGACATACGGAAACCTGAATAATGACCTTTGCTTTGCAGCCTCTAGCCAGAAAGTGGTAGGAAGCTTACTTTCCCTGCTAGTTCTGTGTTTCAGGTTACTTTGACCTGGTTAGCACCACAGTACTTCAAAGGTCTGATACAAATAGTTTTCAGATGCTAGTATAGGTTTGTTAGTGACAGTAACTTGCTAAACCAAAAAACAAAACAAAACAAAAAAAAACCAACAAAACAAAACACCAAACCACCCCTGCCTCAATGGAAGTTCAAGACTTCTCTACACTGATACTCATTCACAATGGACTCTCATTTTCACATAACTACTGTGAGATTACAACAAACATTTTCCAGAAACTGATAGTATTTGTGAACATACTCGAGAACAGACTCACTTCGAGGAAGGTAACTTGGATTACAAGGTATGTAAACAACTACGGTCAGAATAGCTGGGTCTTCTGCAGGCAACAGGTGCAGTGGGTCTCAAGTCACACAAGCTGCTAACACAACAAGATTTCTCACGTGTACAGGTTATCCATGCAGCGGCTATTGGAAGTGTCAGTGTTGCAAACAGTACTCCCCACAAAGCTGGGTGCCTGAGCTAACACCACAAACACTAATTTACCTTGATGTGTTGGTACTCTCATAAGCTGCGCTCAGTCACTTCTCTGGCTACAGCAATTGCTACGCACCATGAAATTGCAAGAGCATTTACACAGAGAATGGGTAACCTCCTTAGAGGTAAGTAGAAGATCTGAAACATCTTTAAACCTGCGTAATATTAAACCAACACTTTACTTTCTCATTGACAAGTCTTGCAGTAGCTTAAGTTCATCATATCCATTCACTGTCCTCTACCCAGGGAGTTGAGACTCCCCAAGCAGTATCCAGAATTATCTAACAGCTTATTCCAGACAATTCAAACTAGAAACCTGCATCTCATGCAGAAGTAGAGTGACACTCATCACCAAGTTTTGGAAGGATTAGTGACTGCATCTCCTCCAGTATTCCTGGTGAACCCGCAACAAGGTTCTCTCATACCTGATGCTAAAGAATCATTAAAAACATGGGACAGGAAGTAAAGAGGAAGATGGGGAAAGACAACCCTTACAATGGGTTGTCTTCTTACAATGGGTTGCCTCTAACTCTTTATAACGTTAGAGGCCCACAGCTGCTGCAACTGGAATAGGACCACTTGCTATAACATTACCAGAAGTCACCCTGTTGCATTACTGTATTCTTAAATGGTATCATAGGGTACCAAGAACAGTTAAGTTTTTTATAGCTTCTGCACAACACCGCTGTTACTCATTTATTTTTTAAGAAAGGATGCACTTTGCAAAACCAGATATTCTCTAGATAATCACCAAGTTGCTCATAACATTTGCCATAATTTCTTATCACATGATTAAACATTCATAATGCTTCCTAGTGCAGCTCATTAGAGATATCACTCACTTGCACCTTAATGAAGTTACTTAGGAAGTATTTAGCAAGATTAGTTTTTCCTAACAAGTTTTCTGAGAGCAGATAAAAAGCTGTAAGTAAGACTTGTATACTATTTATATCTCACTTCAGTAAGGCTGATGTATCCCAACTCAAGTGATGGGAACAGCTTTCTAACACTGGAGCCACCTATGCAAAGCGTTTCTAAGAGTAAGGCTGTGTGCTGGTTTTTTTCAGGTGTTAATTACAATATCTTCAATTTCTAATCATCAGATCAAAACTGAGATCAGGTATTTTAGCTTAAGAATTTCATTCCCCAAAGAAAGATTATTTTCTATATATCACCTACTGAATAATAGGCAAGAATTCTACCTGCAAAGGGAAGTTCTCTTTGCAAATAATTTAAGTACGTCTTTCCTCAAAAGAGGAGAACAGAACTGCATTTATTATTTCTTTATGATGTACTGTATCTTGAGTAAAATATTTAGGAGAAAGGAGGGTCTCAACCGTTGGTTTAATATTGACAGAAATACTTCAAAGTTTGCAGAAATACTTAGAGTGATTGAATGCACCACCTGCTCGGATGCCTAGAAAAAAAATAAATTGACTCACAAAGTAGGTTTGTTAAGACAGACATGACTTGCAACACTAACAGGCTTAATTAGCTGACACTGCAGCAGTGCTGTGTGCAAGGGCAAGCCCCCCACAAGAGCATTTGGAGAGGTCACTTTTCCGTCTGTACTACTTTATTCAGCAACTGTGAAACAGATCAACAGAACCGACCAGCAAGGTCAAACAAGCTACTTGCTTGCCTCAATAAATACATAAAAAAAACAATAATAAAAACAGGTCAGCAAAGCTCAGGAGGACAACTAATTTGGATAAAGTATTCTAAAAATATTTATTTAGGAAAAAAATCACGTTATTCAAGATTAGAATTAAGCCATTGGTACTAGCACCCAGCAGATTAAATCACGTATGTAACACACACTTAAAATGCAGTTTGCAGTCCCTGTCCTTTCCAATGCTGGTTCACTGGGCCAGAGAATTCTGATCTACTGCTGGGCACACTTCACCACACACTGCAGTGTTTCAGAAGTCAAACCACGAAAGTACAGTGACAGACATTAACACCTTTAACATGGGAAGGAATACTGGACAGTTTGATAAAACAATTTTAATATTTCTGAGGGACAGATGACATCACAACAGATCATTTTCCTCACTCCAGTTGCCTTTTAAAGGCCAACAGCTTTACTTGGTTGTTTTAGTCACTTAACAGGTTTAACAAAGAAATCAAAATTTTGCAGGCAATAGTCTAAGCTAGACACTGTCAGGTGTCAGTGACAATACTGACTCTCAGATGAAACAAATTGGAAATAGATGTAAACCAGGAGGAGACTAAAGCTGCAGAATAATAGGTGACTAAGTGGCCTTAGAAACCTGAAAAGCATCAGAAAACATCTTTGCCCACATTAATACTCTGAAGTTAAAATTGCTTAGTCCAAAATCTGTTCTTCATCTACACAACGCAAAACTTGGCAGAAAAGTAGTTTTCAATCGCTGCATTACGATGTTATCAATGCAATGCTACCATATTTTTGATTACAGACACTTCAAAGGAATGTTCATATCACAAACATTAAGAAGATTTAATACTAGCAGTAACCTGCTCTAAATTCTAGAATAAGCAACAGAACATTCAAGCTTGAAAAGAACACTTTAAAAAAACTGCCATGTTTTTTACAAAAATGAATTTTTCTTACAGCTGCTAAGTTCCAGGGAGTGGAGGCCCAACTGAGGCAATTAAAGTTGGCTTGATGGAACACCCGGTATTTATTCAATTTCAGGCTTTCAAACTTGAATTGTCAAAGCCAGCCAATCTCACCTATATAGCTCTTTTAATTAGTTGTTCTGTAGCTCTTCTTTACTCCAGATAGTTAAATTAGCTTCAGGTAAGAATTGTTACATTTTGACTAACTTTAAATCTAGAATTGATCAAGGATTTTGCTTGCATTACAGATTCCTTCTGCAAGTAGGAGCCTTGATGTAAAAGCTTCTAACAGCACACTTCCCTCATGAGTGGATCCACACAGCTCCCTGTGTTTTATCTACACGTTGGCAGGTCTGTAAATGCTCTGTTTTAAATAAAACTCATTCCCCCCTCCCCCCCCCTCCATACAGTATCACATGCTGCAGAACTGGTGAGGTACTGTTTGTAGAAGAAAGTCTATATTCAAGTCAGTTTAATTAAGACCTTATTCTTCTGTTCATGGTAGTTTTTATAGCTGTTTCTTCCCTGTCTCGTAAAAGGCTGGTTCAGTACCACCACTGTCAAAAGCTTGTCATAGTCTAGTAGAAGTCTACAGTACACACTCAGCTGAGTGAGAGGGAGAACAAACAGAGTACCCTCCCCTTCCTCCCAACTCAGCCTGCATCAATATTCTGGATTAAGTTGTTCTGACACTGCTATGGAATTAGCCACCTCCCTGTTTCCACAGATCTTAAAAGATGCAGTAGAACTGGCTACATTCAGAACTAAAACTGATGGCCACCTGACACGATTGATTCTACCCCCTGCAGAAATCTGCCACTCCTTGGCCTTTTCTGAGGCTGTGTTTTCTTTGTAACTCCAACAAATATCTTGTATTCCTACCTTCCTTTGTACAGCAGTGATAGCATGAAAAACTACTGTAGAACTCATAGTGTCATTTATTTTACTGATAGGCAGCAGTAAAATAATTAAAATAAAAACTCACTAGAGTTAGTCTGAAGCTCTTGGGAGAGGGGGGTAAAGCATTAGCAAAAGGCTAGGAACAATCTGTGAGCAAAATCAGTAAAGGGCACAACACTACGCATAGCAAAGACCATGTACAAGTACAGGAAGGATCAAGATAGTTAATTTCAAGAGAAAATCCAGTTGATAGGCATGCATCTTCTACATGCCTTCGAAAGTTCCCTAGTGACATGGCTGGGAACAGATTTTTCTAAGTGCTAGATTTCCAAGTTTAGAGGTAAACCAGTAAGGAGGGAAACTCTTGGTAACCAGTAAGATATTTCAACAACAAGGATAGGAAGAGGGAAAGATAACATCAAAATCAGCAGTTAAGACCACAAGGGACAGCTGAAAAGAAAGGGAAGAACTTCTGTGGAACACCTTTCCTTCCAGCTCAAAGGTACTTAACAGAAAGAACAGTTAGTAGTGATCCAGTAAGATCCAGAAAGATTTTCCCTAGACAAATTAATGAGTTCTTGTTCCTTACTTGGAAGATTAATGCTGCATAAACCTCTCAAAGTTTTGGCACAAAGTTTGCTCATAAGACTTTTGTAATCTGAAAAGTACTGAGAAATTCTCCAGTTCAGAGTGAGCCGGTACGAACTTCATGGAGGTCACATTTAGCTCTGAGTTGTAGCAAGGCTGTACATCTCGTACATGAGCCTTACAATTTAGTTCCATAAAAGAGGTGGCAGCACGCAGCTACTGAATGAAGCCTCGGCCCAGGCACCAGCATCACTAGTAGGGAAGCAATCTTTGCAGAAGCAAAATAGCACGAGTACAGAAGAGGCCAGTTCAAACACATCGTGCATGTCATCAATCTAGTTTGGAAAATAGGAGGATGAAAAGCAGGAAGTAAGGGAAACATTTATTACAGCAGAACAAACAGCCATTTAGGTCTCTACATTAAAAATTGTGGAAGCATTCCCTTGTTTAGCTTCCATGTAGTTTTCTTAAGCATCAGTTACCTTTCCCAAAATAAGGAATAAAGTAATGCCACAGAAAATGAAACTGCATTGCTGGCTTATTTTCCTCACACTTTTCTAGTGTGCCAAAAGCACAGAAGAGTTATTACTCAAACTTCCTATACAGATATGTTTTATTAATGAATTCCCCATTCACAGCACCAGGCAAAAACGTTAATAATCATTTCCATCACAACACTCAGCCTAAGACAAATGACACTGTTATAAGGTTGATCATTTCCACAACAGGTATCTATAGCACATGTGTGAACATACCTAGCATACATGTTCAAAGAAGAATGCTATGCATAAAACAGGAACTTCCTTCCCCAGTATTATTTTGCAGGTTATGGATGTCCCCAGAAAAACAGAAAACCATATCGTTGTCTCCCCTCTCCTTCCCCCCCCAGAAGTCTTTAAATAGTTATGCATAACGAAACACAGCCAACGCAACCATCGCCAAATATACCAGCTTAAAATCTAAATAGTTATTTTTCACAACTTAAGAACTGAAGTCTCTTAACTGGATGTTTCATTTCCCAGAAAGCCTTCAGATCATAATCAGGAAACTCTTACTTATAAATCTTGTCTTACTTCAGCAAAAAGTATGTTAATAAATCTGCACAACACAATACTCTTCAGGCTGTGACCCCTACCACAAACATCACTACTCGGGGTCCCTTCCCATGGCTAAACAACCTCTTAGTTTTCCCTCTGCCACTGCGCAGATACTCAGTCTCTACACTGATGTCCATGTCCAGCATCAGAGCTGCATGGCAGTTCCTATACCCATTTTGCCTACGTTCAGGATCTGCTCCATGCTCAGGACCCCCCTGCACACAGCATATTCCAAAAAAAATAAATCTCACAGACCATCTGTACAGTCTGAGCACACACAGCAGAAGTCTCCAGGATCAGATCCTGTCAGAAGGCTGTACAGCCACTACCTCATAACACATCACCTACCCAACCCATTTTCCATATATACCCGGTATCCCTCTGCTCTGCAAGGCCCTTTAAGCCTCAACACATTTCTCCACACATCCCACACCCGCAAGGATAAGTAGATGTGTGACACAGAGACAGACACAGCAGCGTGCAGGAGAAGGAAGTGAGCAGGTGAAACAGGTGGCGATGGGGGGAGCGGAGATGGGGGAAGGAGAAGCAGTGCCCGCAGCGGGTGAGGAGAATGAGGTGTGTTACGTGACAGAAGTAACGAGCAGTGAGGGCAGAACTGCAGCCACGCTACAGGCTACGACCATACACTCCTTAAAGGCGATATATGCAACAAAAAGCTCTTTCAAATACATAATCTATATCAACAGATTTTAACCTTTGCCTTTAGTTGGTTTCTTGGTGGGTGTGTCAGCTGAAACAGTTATTTCAATATTATCTGGATCACCTCCTTCCTCTTCAATAGCCTGAATGAGACAAAAAAGGACAGTTTTTAACTGAGTTCGATTGGAAGCTAGACAATTTGACTTCAGTAAGCATCACTGAGCCAAACCACGTATTCTCTGAAACTATCGGGTATTTTACGAACCACCCTAGGTTAAACCTCGCACTGAAAGCTGGGGGAGGCCGAGGAGGGGCCGGGGCTGACGGCCACAGCTCCAGCCGCGGCACTGACCCTCCGGAGGGGCAGCCCAGCGACAAGCAGCACGCTTCATGAGGCGAGGAGGCCTCCACGCCACACACGGGGCCGCGGCACAGCAGCAGGAGAGGCTCCGAGCCGCCAGCAGGGCGCCCCGCCACAGCGGCCCCGCCGCGGGCAGCACGGGCCGGGCCCCTCCGCGGGGCCTCTCACCTGCTTGAGGCGGGAGATGAGCACCGTCTTCACGCCGGTGACGTCCAGGTTGCGCCGCTTCAGCTCCGACTTGAGGTCGATGACGCGCAGCTCCGCCAGCTTCTTGCTCTCGGTGGGAGGCGGCGGGGGCGGCGGCGCCGCGGCCGCCGGGGCGCTGGGAGCCGCGGGAGCCCCCGCGGCGGCGGCGGGAGAGGAGGCGGCGGCGGCCATCTTAGGGCGAGGGAGCGCGGCGGCGGCACGCACAATGAGCCCCCCCCCCCGCCCGGCCGGCCGCGAGTACCCGGATGGAGGCCGCGGCCGACCTGGCGGCGCGGCGCAGGCGCGGTGCGGCTCACCTGGCCCCGGGACCTCCCCGCCAGAGGTGGGCGGCGGGCGGGGAGGGGAAGGGGAGGGGAGGGGAGGGGGGCGCCGCTTCGGGCCCGCCCAGGAAGGCCGGGCCGGGGCTCGGGGCTCGGGGCAGGGCTCTCGGCGCGGCCGGGAGGTGCCCCGGGGCGGCGGGGGGCGCGGGGCGGCCGGGCCGGGGGCAGGTGGCGGCCCCCTGCGGGAGGGGGGGGGGTGTTGGTGCCACACAGCGGGGTACGGCCCTCCCGCTGTCCCACCAGAAACGCTCCCGGTAATCGCGTCAATATTCGATCTTATGAATGCGATTAAATCTGCAACTAAGGAAGAATCTGTGAGCTCGAATGCATCTGGCACCGGTTTGCCACAACGGTCTGCTTGTTCTGTCTCTTCACTCAAAACAGCCTCCTGATAAAATCAAAAAAGTGTTCATTTTATTTAATAAACCTTAACTAAACCTATTTTTTTGGTGCAAAGTAAGTCCCAAATCCAGCAAAGGCCTGTAACGCCATCCTCTTTTTTGTTCTCAAAATGCAGGTGAGGTATGTAAGAGACACTTACGTAGTTACCATTTAAAAAGACTGATGTCCGGATACGTAAAAGTCAAGCACGTAGTTAAGTCTAAATGGAAACAACTTGGCCTGATGATTGCATGAGTGTTTTAAATGTGCAGTGGTGCTGCTCGATGTGGTAAAGATTTATAAAAACAACAATCTCAAGTAAGAAATCTGCATGTGTTCTTGCTTATGCTGTCCTCTGTGATAGTATTTGCCTTGACATGAAATACATCAGGATTGTCTGTGAGGTTAACCAAGTAACTCCTTAACTTTACTGTAGGCTATAGGGACAGATTTTGTGGGTGTTTGTATAACATTTAAACAATATATAGGAAAGTCCTACAGTTATTTATTTACATACTGTTTTGAATTCAGGAATGTATCAAAATCTCAGTCAGGACTGTGAGCTTCTCAGTGGTAAGCTCCTGTACAAATACAGATAAAACTCACCGGTTAGGTTCTAATCTCTGTCTCAGGAAAGACACAAGTGTTTTATAGGGGTTGCTTGACTTACCTAAACTTCAAAATTTGTTGATGTCCTGTAGATGTCAAAGCTGTAGATTTAAAGAGCTAAAAGTGACCTCAAGATGTAACCTCAGTCATCCTGCCTTGAGGCATGATACCCTATTATGAGAACAGACTTGACCAATGTTTGTCTAACCTGTTCTTGAAGCCTTAAATACAGATGCCACTCATTCCTCTGGCTGTCTGGTGTAGCCCTTAACTATCCTTTTTCAAATGTCTGAACTAAATCGTTTTGCTGCAGTTTAGCATTCTTATTCAAAGTGAATCCAAAGGACAGCATTCCCTTTGTCTCTGCAGCATCCTTTTACACAAATGAACTGTTAGCATATTTTTGTTCAGTCTTTCAGTTTCTGAATAAAAGCTCAGATTATTTCCTTTTTAAAACAGAGCTCTGGAACACATGACTTTTCTCTGTTGCACCTCCCTAGCTCTTGTCCAGTCTTTTTACAACTTCCTCAAGTTGTCGTGGTGACGGCACTTCTGATTACTCATCTCAGTGTGCTGTATGCCTTTTTCATCCTCACAAAGTTGTTGATATATAGGGTTTGTGATCCACTCTACTTATTGGATTCTTTTCTGCAAGATTACTAGAGTACCCGTTTCTCTGCAGGCGATTGTTTCCTGCCAAGTGCAGCACTTTGCACTTGTGTTTATAGAATTTCTGCGTTCTTTCAGGTGATTTCAGACTGATGCGGATTTCTGCTCTGTGGTACCTGTCAACGTTGCATTAGCTGCAGGTTTATAAATATAATCTCTAAGCCATTACCCAAATATATTAAAATATTGAAGTGTATGAGGGAATTTATATGATAAAAACTTCTGTTTTGATATTAAAATGCTAACAGTGATCCTCTGGTAACAAGCAGTTTGGCACCACTTTTGTGCTTTCTATCCAGATGAAATTTCTTCATCGTGTTTACTGCCCTTCTGTCCTCACTGACAGTAAGTGTGAATGGAACAGAATGTCAAAAGCCGCAGGAAAACTAAGATCTTCATTTTATTCATGTCTCTGGTAACATAGCTGAAAAATAAAGTTGTTCTGATAGGTTGCTGTGAGCAAGTCATGGTGGTTGGTATTTATCGTTTTGTTTGTTATTTTCCAGGTATACCTGTTATTACCAGGTATATTTTGAATTTGTTCAGGAATTTTAAGTATGTTGGCTGGTTTCTAACTTCCTGGGGTATTTTGTTTGTTTGTTTTTAAGAAAAGTACTCTTTGACCTTGTGCGGTCTCTCAAAACATCTACTGGTCTTCAAAGAGAAGACTTCTATACAGTTAGGTTCTGAAATTTGCGGTAAAGTTTGATTAGGAAACAGTAAGAGCCTTTCAAAGAGGAGAAATGGTTGGCCAAGATATTGGTGTTTAAATAACAGCAAAGACAGAAACCCCAAACTGTGCTCCTATAAACTAATTTTTGTCTACCTTATGTGAGACGCATGGAAGCTGTGAACGGCCTTAGATTTTATTTTTTTTTTTCATGGCCTCTGTAATTCTGTATAGGTAATCTCAGTCTTGACAGTGCTGGCCGGTCTATTTCCTACCTCACACGGAAGCCTAACAGAGGATCAAACATTAGCTATTTTATCTTCTTTTACGGCTTCACGTAGTTGGTGCAATTCTAATGACTTGACTCTAAAACAGTGTTATTCAGTGACTTCAAAACACGGAGAGGAAGTTCCTGCTCTTTTTGATTGTTTGATTTGCTCTTTAAGAAAGCCTTATGGCTGGAGCATTCACCTCCAGTAGAACTGTGTCCCGCCTTTCTCCTCTTCACACAGGCACGTGTTTGTCCGTGTGCCCTTCTAGAGAGAAGAGATGTTGGTTTAGGAACATGTGGAGGGGGAGATGCAGCTTGACGTGCTGTTCATTTAAAACCTCATTTTGGAGCACAAGGTTTCACTTCAGCTTTAGGCTTTTGTTGTTTTTTTTTGCTTCAGAAATCTAAGTTTCTAATACAGTATTGTATTTTGGATACTATGGGTGCTGACTGCATCAGAGCTAGTTATTACAACAGTAAATGATGCAATGACTCAGTTCCTTCTTAGATATTTTTTTTATGAGTGATTAACTGAAATCAACAGGAAGAGTCCATTTGACTTTGAAAGGCATTGACTCCCAGTTATTATGTTATATTGCTTAGTTACTACAACTTCAAATGCTGCTTTTAGTAATTCTGATGTCAAGCTGATTGTATTCAAACCTCCGACCAAGCTTTCAATTGGAAATTATCAGCTGGTGTGCTTGCTGCACCATTTCTCTCCTCTGGGGGAGGTGGGGGGCACAAGGAAGAATAGTAACATTTGAGATGTTTTCAGGGAATATCTGACAATAGATGCATTTTGAAATGAAGAATCACTGCTAATTTAATATACATCATTGCTAGAAAAACAGCTTTTTCCACTTTGGATGTAGAGTTTTCTTTTTGATGTATTATTGATATACCGTATGATGAGCAGTCAGGAGGCTGTACAAATGAGTTTTTGATCTGTAAGTCGCCCGCATTACCATTCCTCTGCAGAACAGCAAGGCGGAGAACACAATGCACTTGTAAATCAAGGACAAATATTCTCCTTTGTGTGACTGCTGAAAGTGTACGTACTTGCTAGGAAGTGGCTATGGAATTTCCCAGTGTAAAATCAGATCCTTGAATTCAAGGAGTTTTTATTTGGTTTAAACCTGATTGCCCTAAAACAGTTGGTGGTTCATAATTAAAATCCGTATATTTGGCCCCATTCTGTTACAAGCTCTGTAAGAATTTAAAGGTGTTTCTCATATCATGTTTCTGTTAATGGGTTGGTGGCATATATGTGTTTTGGTAAAAAAAAAAAAAAGAAACTTTTTTTTTCCTATTTAAAAAGAAACAGCGACCTTGTTGGCAGTATTTAAGAAATTATTTATACACACCTTTTAATTAAGTGACAACGTAAATACTTAAAATATCTTGCTTAGACTATCTGTGATCTAACTGCTTGAGACCTTATTAGGGATTTGCGTGCTCTGTGAAGTAACGTGTTGCAACAACGTTGTCTGACCTTTCAAAGCCTTGTCACATCGTATAATATGAAATGAAATGAGTGGTTAGCAGGTCATTTCTGTTTTACTGTAATGGAGGCTATTTTGCTTTTCCACATAACTTAAAAAATACAGTTACCTGGGTGGTGTGTGTTACTTTGCAGAGCCTTCCAAGGCTCTCAGATAAATCTCATTAATTCCTATAGTTATCCCTATGAAATATATAGCACAGAGCTTCGGAGTTTTATTTTTTGAACATGCAAGTGTGTCAGTCTTGTTTCCTAGCAGGAATTTTTCACTATATGGATTTTTAAGGGTTGATTTTACCATTGTCCCTATCTATCCAGTTTTCATTATTTGGTAAGATCTTCATCCAAACTGGTGGGAGCTGTGGCAATTTGTATCATCTGAATATCAATTGCACAGATTTTGTGCTGCTTTTCTGTCTCAGCCACATAATGTTATCACAAGGAGCTCTCTATTTGTTAATGTTACTAGCAGTTAAGAATTGACCAAACACTCAGAAACACCTCAACAGTTAAGGATGGTGCATTTTAAGTCTACACAGCCACATACGATGTAAGTGTCAAGGAAGGGGGCTGCTTCATCTGGGTTAATACCCTGGCAGCAAGTCATTTTGAGCTCCAGACGGTGATCTTTGTGTACCTGTGCTAGGAGATGCAGTGAGTAGTATTCACACCGCCTTGGTCACGACCAGGCTTGCAGTTCAGGCAGCCCCGAGCAAGGACACCTCTTTCTGACAGCACACACCTTGCATCCTGGCCGTGTGCCCGGTGGGACTGGGTTCCAAACGCCGGTGTTTGCGTCTGGAAGAAGCTGTGCCTGGCTTCCCTCTGTGGACACTCAGAGACAGCGCTCCTGGGCTGCAC